AAAAGGAGGGTGGAGTCCGGCAGCTTCAGCGGGCTCGCCATGCAGGAGCTCGTACAACACTGATGCAAACAACTGTTTGAGAACCTTCCATCAAACATTCGCTGCGAACAAGTCGGATCCTGAGCTGTGCTCGTAAGTTGAGCAAGAACTTAGTAACAATGACGTCCCCTTTAGTTTTAACTGAACTTAAACGTACTGCATGACGAATAATACAAGGTTCAATTTGACCTGTTCCATCCCTCCGGGCAATCCCTGGAACAAGTCCATCTCTTCGGGCCCGGGGTTAGGAAATTGTTTGAGGTTGTCCTGTCCCAGGAGTAGGGGGTGGGGCAAATCAAAAATATCTTCCCTTTGATTTTGCGAAGCTCGCGCAGTTCACGATGGCTGCGGACCTCAGGACTACGTATTTTTAAAGAAAGACGCAGGAATTTTGTCAGAGAGTGGTTGTACAGGAATAAATTATCCACATTAGAGTCTGTATTTAAAGGTATGTTTTACAATTTGAAACGAATGTGCGATGATAATGCGTACTCGAATGGATTTAATTTTTTGGAAAAGAAGGACAGAAATATTTCTTCAGCCTAGCTTTAATGATAAGAAAACTTAATGAAAACGGATTCAAGGCTTTTGATATAAAGATAAACAGCGATTCAGTCCAGTGTTCTTACGAAGTGTTCTATTAAGGAGGCGCTTTTTTATAGTTTTTCTTCTTCGTTTTCATTCATTATCCTTCTCTCAATAAACTCTGGAAAACTTTTATAAAAGTTGTGAAAAGGTTTCGTTTTGCTTTTGTACAGGGGGTGGAAAATATACCCCCAAGAAAGAAGAAAACTGCAGATCCCCGGGGGTATGCCCCAGGAGGGCATGGTTACATGTCAAATTGAACCATGCATAAGCCTTTCATTTCTCCAGGGGCACCTAACGACTTTTTAGCAATCATATATTCCAAATAACTTATATCGTCAGTCGAGTTGTCTTCTTGCTGTTCTTGCCATGTTCACGGTGAAACGAGTAAAATGTTCTGCCATCACACACTTCGTCATTACTCAGTTCGAAAACAACTCAAATTCGTCCCCAGTTTTTCTCGGTTAACGTTTCAATAATCTACAAGTTTGCTGCACTTTTGACGTCATCGGTTCAACAGTAACTGGTTATGATGAATTATGCGTGTGATTTTAGTCAATCAGAAAGTACGGAGAAATATTTTGAATGAATAATAATTTCTGTTAAATAATTTTTCGAACGAACAAATATTGCCTAGAAATTAATTTTCTAAAGCTCGAAAACGGCTGAAATTTTCTGGATAACCGTTCCATTGGTCTAAAATATTCGGAGGTTTTCTACTACTACTACTACTATTTTCGAAGGTTGTATTTTTCACATTTTTTATTTTTATTATCAAGATGTTGCGATTATTGCTAAAAAAAAAAGGTCTCCGGAAAATTTCGGTATAAAGACAAAAAAAAATCTCCTAACGTTTGTAATGAAAAGTAATTAAGGCTTCGAATCAGGGTCCAGTTCCGGATTAGATAAAAAACAGATTTTTTGAGATTTTGCTTTGTAAAGCTGATTCGGACGTTCGCATTAAAAAATCCGCAAAGAATTGACTGTGCAATTTTTTGAAAAAAAAATTGTTGGTTTATTAAGAAAGCCAGTTTAATAAGCGTCAATTTGATTTAGGGTTTTAGGCCTAGACTTGCTCACAAGTCGAGCTTTTGAGCGCATAGCGCGACAGTGAGCGCGAAGCGCGATCGTACGAGCGCTACCACACCAGACCAGAAAACCATGCGAACGACTTTGAGAAAGTCTATTTTAGGCCCTGCAGTTTAACCGGAAAGCGCTACATAACGTGAGCGTGAGACGGCCCTGAAGGTATCCGGTAACCTTAAAAATATCAACTGTCTTTCGAACTTCTAAAAACACACTGATTACGACGTATACTTCCTAGTGAAAGTAAATATCAACATAATATCAGTAACTAACGATTCGTTTGTAAACCTTTGAAAAAAATATATATTTTTTTGGTACTCCGCAAAATCTCATTGGTTCCTAGCATCAACTCATAGTACCTCCATTCAGATTCTCAAAATAGATTTAAAAAGTTAATTCAAAATTAAATAGGATAAAATAGGCAGGCTGACACTGCATAAAGGGATCTGGGGCTCGTTTCTTGAACTATCCGGAAACGTTTCAGTCCTGAAGGCAAATATTAAAATCAAAACCTGTTGACCAGTAGCAAATACAGTTCCTAGGCCACAAACCCCTCCAGGGGGTACTTGGATTAATTTTTGCTGGGTATGCTAGGTATGTGCCGCTGGCCTCAACTAAAAACACAAAACACAAAAACAGCTTTCCGGGCTCGAAAAGTTACCGGGACTTTCGAGAAACAGGCCCCTGGTCTTACAAAAGAATGGAGCTGAAAACGCCTTTACAGTGGCCAATTTAAGTTCTCTTCAACTCAACTGTTAATCACTCCGTACTGCAAAATTGTTTTCAGATAATCAAAACTTCAAAATGCGACATGCGTGAATTATTTATTCCTGCTAGTCTTTTGTCTTCATAGCCAATAACATCACGGCTTAACTGACAGACGACCAATAACATCGCGACATAATTGACCAATCAGATCAATAACCAGAGTATAATACCATCAACTGACGTCACACAACTCACTTTGACTCTGAAGATGATTACCGCACAGGTTGTCGAAACGTCAGTCACTGTCAACAACAACAGTCCTATTCAGGACTACGTTCACACGGACGATCAAACTCAACCTTTTGAGTCTTTTGTTTGTTTGTTTTGTTTTGTTTTGCTTTGCTTTTTTTCTGCTATTTAGTAGTATGACAACGTTATTGCTGTTACGTGTTGATTCAAGCAAATAGTTTAGAAATTTCTTAGTACTCAATTCCTGAATACTTTTTAATTAAGCATTTTTTTACTTGGGTTAATTGATTTACTCGAGCGTGAACTGGCACGTGAAGGGGAAGGAACTGGCACCCTTAAAATCCCACCTTCCCCGACCTCCCCCCCCCCCCCCCCTCCCTCCCCGCCCTTCCAGCTAGATTCGCCCTTGACAACCTGAAACTGAACCATTGTCTATTTTGATTTTGACAGGGATTTCGCCAAAGCAAAGAAGTGCATGAAGAACCTGGTAGCGTCTGCTTGTTCCTTCTCATCTAGTGAACAGGAATTGCTAGACTTGAGTTTTAGTGACCACAATCCTTTCTGTGAAAACAATCGGGATCCTGGGGCGACGGGAAATGATCAATGTTTTGGAGTAAAGGAACTCAACAACCCCTTTCATTCCTCTAATCCTACCAAAACTGCTAATTTGCAGGCTGTACTGGTTCTTGTTTTAGCGCTGTTGTTTGTTATCTAAGACGCTGTAGTAGTTCCCGGGACCGCTAGTAATCACGACGACCACTGCAAAGAAAACTTTAAATCGTAATCGTTTCTATTGAAAAGTTTTAACTACAAGGAAGTAGATAGAAGTAGATAGATAGGGCTGGATATTGGCCCCATGGCCAAAATAATTTCCAGCTCCCTTAACAGAATTGGCTGGTCATTAAATGCATATGTCACTGACTTTCCGGGTTTGTTTAGTAATCACGACAATAAACTGAAGCCGTGAACGCATGGTTTGCCTTTACCGTTCACAATTATTTTCTTTGACTTTTTATAAATACGGATGCTTCCAACATTACGAAACACAGTAACGTCTGTATGGTAGGCTAAGAGTTTACCATCTAATCTCATTTAAAATACAGCCGCTTAATATTTGACCGCGGTTGTCGTCTAAATATTCATCACGATGGGACATGATCGCGTCTACATATTCTCTCTTAGCCACAGCTATACCTACAGCTATTATCATCAATTGCGTTCATGATAATTAAGTTCTTGATATGATGGTTTCGATCCCCTTTCAGAAAAAACATACATTCTTCTCTTGGGCTTGATTCGGAAATAAAACATAAACAAGCACCTTTTTATCAACAAAATAAATCCAGGTGAGACGAAGCCTATGAGAACGGGAATAAAGAAAAAAGGTATAAAGGAGAACCCATAAAAGCCTCTTTAATGTTTTTGATGGTTTAAATTCATTATAAATGTATTTTATATTCTTTATTTTTTTTTTAAACGCCACACAATTGTTAAACAACATGCAAGGAAAACACATTTAGTACGTAGGAATTAGTTCACTTAACTGCTTGCTTATTCGATTTGTCGTTTACATATCAATGATAAGTGAATTCGATACAGTACGTTTCAATTTTTTTTTTGAAGAACGTCAAGTGTGATTAGATATTTAAATTGAAAAGATTGTTAAATACGCACCCATGCCCAGAACATGTGTGCTAAAAGCACACATCAAGGTAATTTGTAGTAACGACATAAAATTGAATGTGCTAATGAAATAATTGAAATATATAGACGGAGCCTTTTTAGCCATACCAAATATGTCAAACATGTTGATACAGGCTTTTAAATTCGAAGAGTTAAGAATTGGTCTTTTTGTTCCTTTCCTAACGTTAGGAAGATGATGTAATGATATAAAGACCAAAGGCCAAGGAGTCCAAACATAATACTTCTAAAATTTACAACATTTGTAAGCTGACCGGCATGTGCTTGATAAAAAGACAGATTTCGATACCGCAGGTCAAGTATTTTTGTAATCAAATTGAGCTTCCTCTTGAAAAGCTGTATTGAAATGATGAAATAATATAAAGACCTCTGAAAAAAAACAAAAAGGAATGAAATAAATAAAACTATAAAAATCACTAATAAATTTATCCCACTCAAAATCTTCCCATACAGATCAAAATGAAAACACACATCCTTTGCTTTTCAATGTAAGTTTCACCGATTTTTCTTTAAAGCATACAAAATTGGTCAGGATAAAGGAAAATTGAAATAGCTGCTTTTTTTAACGGTTCGGTGACGGAAATCGTAAAAGAGGGTTAGAGAGGATAAAAGAATTGAAATAGCTGCTCCTTTTAACGGTTCGATGATGAATTTTTGATGAGGGTTTGTAAATCGCCTGGGAAATTGTAACCAAACATTTCAAAATCACTTCGGTAAAGCTTCCCTAACCGAGTGATGTATTCAACAGGGACTTGGGAATAGTAATCAAGAATTTCAGATAAGCTGGTTGACTTGTGAACCGGCGGAAAAGAAACCCGATCGTCAATTCCCGCCATTTTGAGCAAAAGATGTGCGTCATCTTCCAGTGTCTCCAAATGACCAATGAAACTGTAGTTTACCGCACAAGGATGGCAAAGCTTCTCGTACTGCCGCCAATGTTGGTTCCGCTCTCTGTCCTCGGAGAAATACTGAATGAATTCGGGAAAGCTAACCCAGTTGTTGTTTTTGTTTAAATCTTTTGGCCTATACTCCTTAATCATATGCATTCGAGCAAAACTACTGACACCAGGGTTACTTCCGATAAATTTGTTTTTATATGCGGAAAGCAGGCGTTTTAGTGGATCACGAACGAAAAGAAATTTGAAATAAGTCTGCAGTCGTATATTTCTTTCCTCTTCTGAGTACTGGTATAATCGTTTCCATAGATTCCACCTGTGTACCTGGAAAATAACGAAAGTACGTGTTTTTCCGTCAAAGTTTAAACATAAACATTTTAGATCACTTTTAAACGTTAAAACAGAAGGAGGACATGTTCCCCCCCTTTTGCCCTCACTGCGTGCTTGAAAATAGCAAACAAAAGTGTTAGCTGAAAATGCGCTATAAATATACCGCTATTTCGAGAAAGGTTGTCGGAAAAAGTGTACGCGACAATCCCGAAATTGAAAGGCATTGTGAGTGGTTTTGAATTCACTGTTATTCAAAGAAGTTTGAAAGAATGACACTAGAGGCCATGGACGTATCTTTGCGGGTGCTAAAAGAAAGCAACAAAAGTAAGTTCGACAGCTACAGCGTCAGGAACAGCGTGTATTGATCATATCCCATATTACCTTTCGGGATTGTCGTGTGCACATTTTTCCCGGCAACCTTTCTCGAAATAGCTGTATAACAATAAAGCGTATTCACTCACATGGCCAGCATCTGAGCAATTTTATGGCAACAAAAGAAATTTGTACACAAGAAAGGAGTCGTTTTCCCTCAGGATTTGTTTGGAACAACAATTTGGCCGCCGTTTCATTGTTCCTTTCTCTCTTAATAGACTTTTATTTTACTTTGTTTCATTTCTTGTTATATTGATTGTTTTGGTACTGAAATCTTCATGTCGAAGATAAAGTCAATAAAATTGTTGTTGTATTGTTTTGGAACACCAAAATGGCCGTCGTGACGACATGTGAATACGCTTAGTGGGACATTTTGCCTCGATTTCGTATAGTTTAACATCACAGCTGACCATTGCAACGCAGGCTCTACCGTTCGCTTCTCCCTTTACTTGTCGAGTATTCGACTTGTACGTTTTTTTAGTCGCTACTTCGTCGCTAACAGGAATTGTTGGGCTTTTTCTCGAAGCATCGGGGCAATTACAAACGCCGTTTATGGAAAAACAATGGTTAAGGAGCGAGAAATGGCGACCTATTTACATAAGACGACACTTTTGTAAACATAGGTACATGCTGGACAAATTAGGAAATGTATTTGGAAACATGCGTTGAATTTCTGGGTGGGTATGTGCCGCTGGGACCGTGGAACCCTTAACCTATACCAGACTTAGTTCAGCTGAATTCTGCTACCGTATACTAGAGTAAACTCCCCAAATCCCCCCTATCCTAGAGTAGCTGTTTTCCAGAAACTACTGAGGTCACTAGCACAGTAGTCTAGCCAAAACAAAACCTTATACCTCAATCCCTAGTCTAGATAAAATCTTCAACCAACTGATCAGTTTCCTGAAAAATGATACCCTCTTCCAGACCCAAACGCTCTGATTGATATACCCTATCCTAGAGGTCCTAGAGTAAACTGCTTGAAACCCATACCCTTCACAGCGGCACATACCTATATAGCCCATATATGGCAGTACCCCTCCCGGGGATTAGACCTTGATTAGGCATAATGTATATGTTGTGATTCAATTTTATCCTTGGTTTAAATTTTATTTTCTTTTGTTTCAAACTCACTATCATACATTACCATACCCAGACACAAAAGAAAATACAATTTAAACCACGGATAAAATTAAACCACAATATATACATTATATTGAAGACGTTTGTGCCCTTGCATAGGGCCACAAGAATAGGTGACCTATAAAACCAAGAGAACATAAAAACCTATGGCCTAATTGTGGGTTTTCCAGTATGTGTACCTTTACGTTGCGTCTTAGGCCTCGCAGTTCAGCGAAAACTTTTTTCCAAGTGGAAGTGCCGACCTTCGGAATTGTGCAGTACATGAACTTGTATTCGTCATTTACAATGATGTACCCCAAATTCTCGCGACTGACTCGAGGTTCCTTCTCGTACGAATTCGTCTGACAGTATTGCTCCATGATCTTTTTCCGGGATGCCTGCCTTTTAATAGCCTCTATAACCAATAGATGTTTATTTAAATTTATTGTAGGATCGATTTTAATCTAATTTAGTTTCATTTTAATTTGAAATAATTTTAAGCGGAGTTTCTTATTACTCGGTTTCTTTCAACAAACCTTTGGGTAAGAAAACCCTTTTAGATTGGACATAGCCTAACTCTTACCGTACGTATACGCTATTTGAAGTGCTTCACCGACTCAAAACAAAAAAATTAATGTGTTAGCATAGCATTTTACGATTAAATTTGACCAGTATTTTGTGCCGAGTAAGTTTTATGATCATGTTTGTCTTCAACTTTTGCCAATACACAAAACGTAAGGGCTATTGGAACTATTGTTCAGGTGTGAAAATAATGTGTTAGATAGTCTTGAAAAGTTCCACCATTCTTCATTTAGGACACCAAAAATCATAGATATCGGTTAAATCTTTCCTACCGAAAAACGAAACTCAAAAACTTTACCATAACACCATGAATAGCATGGTTGAGCTACCTTAAAAATCTCGCAATAACAGCTGAAAATTAAAGAAGTGTTAGCGTTTCAATACAATTTGGGTAATCTGTTCAGGAAACGTGTCACATACAAAACGCTTCCAAGTAATTCTTTACCTTCATAGCTTCTTCCAAATCCTAGAGCACTTGATTCCATTATTACTCGAGTTTGATAGTAAAGGAGCGTAACGAATGCTAGAAACAGAATAAAGTAAGCAATTATTCTCGCAATGTTACTGAATGGTACTTTGGCTGACATTTTCAGGAGATCTTGGTGATCTGGAAGACGCGTTGAAAATATGTCTAGCAAATCACCCAAGGCATTGCCTTTTATATGCAAATGTTATTTCCTTAAAAGCGGTCTTCCTTTGCATGTTTCACATAAAACCTTAGTTTCCATGTTAAACTGAAGATTATTATTTTCAATATGACCCGATTATTGTACGATGTTAAGCCGCATGGGAAAATGTTCTAGTCAGTACCGACAAAAGAATTCATGACTACTCTGTTTATAAGCTTTTAAATTAAGCCTTCTGAGAAGAGTTTTTGAGCCAGAGTAGCACCGTCACCAAACAGAGTAATATAAAGTATTCGACTGGGACTTAGGAAACATAAAGAAGTCAATGAACAGAATGATCTCACACTAGGTGGCTTTGACTGCAAACTGGCGGGTTATTTGTGGCAAACCAATTTGACATCGTTGCCATCGAAGGCATAGCACAAGAACAAAGCAAGTGTTAGAGATAAAACCAAATATCTCTTGATTGATCAGTTTTTGGGTTCCAAACCCATATACAGCAAAGCGTAAAAGCAAAGTTCTCTTTTAAGGAATAAGACTACAGACCCTAGCCTGCATAACAGGGGCTTTATGAGCCAAGCGAGGCGAACGCGGCATTTGGCGCAAAGCGCGACACGCGCGAGACAAGGGGGGCGGGAGAAAAAATAAAGCAGACTCTCGCGAGGATCATGTGTCATCAATTAGCCAATTGGACCGCAACGTTCATGAAGTGAACGTGGGAAGAGCCAGAACAATGAACTGGTAACAGGCGCTTTATTTTTTTGACCATTTTAAATAATATGAGCTCTTTGTTTGTCTTGCCCCACTGCTTCCTCTGCTTTCCAGCATGGCGGTTTTGTATGACGTGAATGACTGGCTGCAAAGGGCCTATTAACGAAACTCTGTAAAGAGCAATAATTGCGTAAATCCTGAAACTTCCTGTGTAACGTGCGAACTTCTGGAACCTTTTAACGATTTTCACGCGTTTGACTTATTTTTCAATCAAGACACAATTCAATGGGCATTTACTTACCAACTATCTTCATTACTTATCCGATCTATCTGTACAGTCTAACCCCGCCATACCTACACCCGCTTTATACGGACTCCTCGTTATTACGGACAGTTTTCTTTGTCCCTGGGGAAAGCCCGGCCTTAAATTTTCTCCTAATTCACCTACTTAATACGGACACCAGTTAATGCAGACAACGGACACTTGTTTCTTGCCCGATCAACAGATTCTCATAGAATGTCATGCTCGCTAATGCGGGCACATACATTCTTATCTTGGGCTTGATCCGGAAATAAAATATAAAAAAAGCAACTTTTTATCAACAAAATAATTCCTCTTGAAACGAAGCCCATGAGAACGCGAATAATGAAAAAAGATATAAAAGAGAACCCATAAAAGCCTCTTTAATGTTTTTGATGGTTTAAATTCATTATAAATGTATTTTATATTCTTTATTGTTATTTTTTTAAAACGCCACAGAATAGGCCATTTTCACGATGACGACATTTGACTATACAACTACCAGAATTCATTTCGTTTTTGCTTTGTTATTGAAATTTGTCAATCCCGCTGAGGATTAAAGAACAATAGTCCTAATTTGCACAAGAAAACAACAAACTGAAGGATTCTGGTAGTTGTAGTAAAATGATGTCATCGTGCAATTGTCCTATTGCTAAACAACGTGCAAGAAAAACACAGTCAGTACATAGAAATTAGTTCACTTAACTGCTTGCTTATTCGATTTGTCGTTTGCATATCAATAATAAATGAATTCGATACAGTTTCAATTTTTTCTTTGAAGAACGTTAAGTCTGATTTATATTGAAAAGTTTGTTAAATACGTAACCATGCCCAAAACTTGTGTGCTAAAAGCAACTAAAAGACCTGTGCCCGTTTTTGTATCAAGCTAATAGGGACTTTAAGATCCAACGACGCGGACGGCAACGAAAACGTCAAAAAAACAATAGGGTTAATAAACAAAACAACAACTTCGTACGTGCATCACACTTTTCTGTACATTTTTTCCCGTTTTTTGCAAGACTACGACGTGAAAATGCCTAATTTCGCGTCAGGAGAACGTAAACAAGCAACGACGAAATTTTATTTTTGTTTCTAAGCTGGGATATGGTCTCTCGAAATTCAGCCTCAGGAGGGTTCGCCTACATTTGGCAAAGTAAGTGGGTAGGAATAATCGCCATAAAGACTGAAAAAACGCAAATTCACTTTTTAAGCGACGCTCTCGTTGCCGTAGTAACGACATAAAACTGAATGTGCTAATGAACTAATTACAATATCGATTAAGCCTATTTAACCATACCAAATATGTCAAACATAGACTGCGAGCAGTCTCTCTTTTTCCTCAGATTTAGTGAGAGCAATGCACGCGCGCGGGAGCGGCGAAGCCGCGAGACGCGCGAAACGTGGGCAGTCAAGCGCGTGGCCATTTGCGTGTCTCGCGCTTTGCTCGACAGACTACAGAACAAAGACAGACTGCTTGTAGTCTATGTCAAACATGTTGATATAGGCTTTTAAATTCGAAGAGTTAAGAATTGGTCTTCTTCTTCCTTTCCTAACTTTAAGAAGATGATGTAATGATTTGGACACCAAAGGCCAAAAAGTCCAAACATAATACTAGGTAAAATTTACAACATGCACGTTGACCGGCCTTTGCTTAATAAAAAGACAGATTTCGATAGCGCAGGTCAAGTATTTTTGTAATCAAATTGAGCTTCCTCTTGAAAAGCTGTATTGAAATGATGAAATAATATAAAGACCTCTGAAAAAAACAAAACAGAATAAAATAAATGAAACTATAAAAATCACTAATAAATTTATCCCACTCAAAACCGTACAGATCAAATTGAAAACACACATTCTTTGCTTTTCAATGTAAGTTTTACCGATTTTTCTTTAAAGCATACAAAATTGGTCAGGATAAAGGAAAATTGAAATGGCTGCTCTTTTTAACGGTTCGGTGACAAATATTATTATTGATGAGAGGTTGTACCTCACCAAGGAAATCGTAAAAGAGGGTTGGTGAGGATAAAAGAATTGAAATAGCTGCTCCTTTTAACGGTTCGATGATGAATTTTTGATGAGGGTTTGTAAATCGCCTGGGAAATTGTAACCAAACATTTCAAAATCACCTCGGTAAAGCTCCCCTAACCGAGTGATGTATTCAACAGGGACTTGGGAATAGTAATCAAGAATTTCAGATGAGCTGGTTGACTTGTGAACCGGCGGAAAAGAAACCCGATCGTCAATTGCCGCCATTTTGAGCAAAAGATGTGCGTCATCTTCCAGTGTCTCCAAATGACCAATGAAACTGTAGTTTACCGCACAAGGATGGCAAAGCTTCTCGTACTGTCGCCAATGTTGGTTCCGCGCTCTGTCCTCGGAGAAATACTGAATGAATTCAGGAAAGCTAACCCAGTTGTTGGTTTTGTTTAAATCTTTTGGCCTATACTCCATTATTATATGCATTCGAGCAGATCTACTAACATTAGTATCACTTCCTATGAATTTGTTTTTATATGCGGAAAGCAGGCGTTTTAGTGGATCACGAACGAAAAGAAATTTGAAATAAGTCTGCAGTCGTATATTTCTTTCCTCTTCTGAGTACTGGTATAATCGTTTCCATAGATTCCAACTGTGTACCTGGAAGATAACGAAAGTACGTGTTTTTTCCGTCAAAGTTTAAACATAAACATTATAGATCACTTTTAAAAGTTAAAAAAGAAGTAGGACATGTCCCCCCTTTTGCCTTCACTGCATGTTTGAAAATAGCAAACAAAAGTGTTAGCTGCAAATGCGCCATAAATACACAACTATTTCGAGAAAGGTTGTCGGAAAAATTGCACGCGACAATCCCGAAATTGAAAGGTATTGTGAGTGGTTTTGAATTCACTGTTATTCAAAGAAGTTTGAAAGAACGACACGAGAGGCCATGGACGTATCTTTGCGGGTGCTAAAAGAAAGCAACAAACGTAGGTTCGACAGCTACAGTGTCAGGAACAGCGTGTATTGATCATATCCCTTATTACATTTTGGGATTGTCGTGTGCACATTTTTCCCGACAACCTTTCTCGAAATAGCTGTATAACAATAAAGCGTATTCACTCACGTGGCCAGCATCTGTGCAATTTTATGGCAACAAAAGAAATTTGTACACAAGAAAAGAGTCCTTCTCCCTCAGGATTTGTTTGGAACAACAATTTGGCCGCCGTTCCATTGTTCCTTTCTCTCTTAATAGAATTTTATTTTACTTTGTTTGATTTCTTGTTATGTTGATTGTTTTGGTACTGAAATCTTCATGTCGAGGATAAAGTCAATAAAATTGTTGTTGTATTGTTTTGGAAGACCAAAATGGCCTCCGTGACGACATGTGAATACGCTCAGTAGGACATTTTGCCTCGATTTCGTATAGCTTAACATCCTAGCTGACCATTGCAACGCAGGCTCTACAGTTCGCTTTTCCCCTTACTTGTCGAGTATTTGACTCGTACGTTTTTTTAGTCGCTACTTCGTCGCTGACCAGAATTGTTGGGCTTTTTCTCGAAGCATCGGGGCAATTACAAACAAACGCCGTTCATGGGAAAAACAATGGTTAACGAGCGAGAAATGGCGACCTATTAACATAAGACGACACTTTTGTAAACATAAGTACATGCTGGACAAATTAGGAAATGTATTTGGAAACATGTAACAGCATTGATTAGACCCCGGGGGGTACTTTAGGAATTTCTGGGTGGGTATGTGCCGCTGGGACCCCGGAACCCTTAACCTATACCAGAGCTAGTTCAGCTGAATTTTGCTACCCTATACTAGAGTAAACTCCCCAAATCCCCTCTATCCTAGCGTAGCCGTTTTCCAGAAACTACTAAGGTCACTAGCACAGAAGTCTAGCCAAAACAATCCTTATACCACAATCCCTAGTCTAGAAAAAGTCTTCAACCAACTGATCAGTTGCCTGAAAAATGATACCCTCTTCTAGACCCAAACGCTCTGATATATATACCCTATCCTTGAGGTCCTAGAGTAAACTGCTTGAAAACCATACCCTTCACAGCGGTACATACCTTTATAGTTCATATGTGGCAGTACCCCCCTTGGGATTAGACCTTGATTAGGCATAATGTATACATTATATTGAAGGCGTTTGTGCCCTTGCATATGGCCTCAAGAATAGGTGACCTATAAAACCAAGAGAACATAAAAACCTATGGCCTAATTGTGGGTTTTCCAGTATGTGTACCTTTACGTTGCGTCTTAGGCCTCGCAGTTCAGCGAAAACTTTTTTCCAAGTGGTAGTGCCGACCTTCGGAATTGTGCAGTACATGAACTTGTATTCGTCATTTACAATGATGTACCCCAAATTCTCGCGACTGACTCGAGGTTCTTTCTCGTACGAATTCGTCTGACAGTATTGCTCCATGATCTTTCTCCTGGATGCCTGTCTTTTAATAGCCTCTATAACCAATAGATGTTTATTTAAATTTATTGTAGGATCGATTTTAATCTAATTTCGTTTCATTTTAATTTGAAATCATTTTAAGGGGAGTTTCTTATTATTCGGTTTCTTTCAACAAACCTTTGGGTAAGAAAACCCTTTTAGATTGGACATAGCCTAACTCTTACCGTACGAACGCTATTTGCAGTGCTTCACCGACACAAAACAAGGAAATTAATGTGTTAGCATAGCATTTTACGATTCAATTTGACCAGCATTTTGTGCCGAGTAACTTTTATGATCATGTTTGTCTTCAACTTTTGCCAATACACAAAACGTAAGGGCTATTGGAACTATTGTTCAGGTGTGAAAATAATGTGTTAGATAGTCTTGAAAAGTTCCACCGTTCTTCATTTAGGACACCAAAAATCGTAGATATCGGTTAAATCTTTCCTACCGAAAAACGAAACTCAAAAACTTTACCATAACACCATGAATAGCTTGGTTGAACTACCTTAAAAATCTTGCAATAACAGCTGAAAATTAAAGAAGTGTTAGCGTTTCAATACAATTTGGATAATCTGTTCAGGAAACGTGTCACATACAAAACGCTTCCAAGTAATTCTTTACCTTCATAGCTTCTTCCAAATCCTAGAGCACTTGATTCCATTATTATTACTCGAGTTTGATAGTAAATGAACGTAACGAATGTTAGGAACAGAATAAAGTAAGCAATTCTTCTCGCAATTTTACTGAATGGAACCTTGGCTGACATTTTCAGGAGATCTTGGTGATCTGGAAGACGCGTTTAAAATATGTCTAGCAAATCACCCGAGGAATTGCCTTTTATATGCAAATGTTATTTTCTTAAAAGCGGTCTTCCTTTGCATGTTTCACATAAAACCTTAGTTTCCATGTTAAACTGAAGATTATTATTTTCAATATGACCCGATTATTGCACGATGTTAAGCCGCATGGGAAAATGTTCTAGTCTGTTACCGACTAAATAGTTCATGACTAGGCTTTGTTTATAAGCTTTCAAATTAAGCCTTCTGAGAAGAGTTTTTGAGCCAGAGTAGCACCGTCACCAAAAAGAGTAATATAAAGTATTCGACTGGGACTTAGGAAAAATAAAGAAGTCAATGAACAGAATGATCTCACACTAGGTGGCTTTGACTTGCGAACTGGTGGGTTATTTGTTGAAAACCAATTTGACATCGTTGCCATCGAACAGGGGCACACAACGGGAAATTTTGAGAAAAAGACCTAAAAACAACAACAAAGCGTGAATAAAGTTTTCTGATACTATTTTAAGCAATTTGGGAGATTGCTGGAAAAAAAATTATCTGTTCCTCACTCCCAGCAAGACTGATGGAAGAGTTCCCAGCCAGCAACCTTACAACCTGCAACCTGACTTACTGGGAAGTTTCATAGGGCACAATTTAGATCTTGAGTGGTAAGCAACCAATACAAGTAACCCGTAGCAGCTATTCTAGACTTCAAATCTCCTCTGACACCCTGAATTATCTTTTTCCCAGCAACACTTTCCTTCCAAGGACTAATATTTCTTCCACATCTCCCAGCCAGCAAAAATGTGCCTGAAGAACAGATATTTTGAGGAACAGATCCATTGGGTGCCCCTGATCGAAGGCATAGCACAAGAACAAAGCAAGTGTTAGAGATAAAACTAAATATCTCTTGATTGATCAGTTTTTGGGTTCCAAACCCATATACAGCAAAGCGTAAAAGCAAAGTTCTCTTTTAAGGAAGAAGACTACCGACCCTAGCCTGCATAACAGGGGCTTTATGAGCCAAGCGAGGCGAACGCGGCATTTCGCGGAAAGCGCGACACACGCGAGACGAGGGGAGGAGAAAAAATAAAGTAGACTCTCGCGAGGATCATGTGTCATCAATTAGCCAATTGGACCGCAACGTTCACTTTACTTTTTTTGACCATTTTAAATAATATGAGCTCATTGTTTGTCTTGCCCCACTGCTTCCTCTGCTTTCCAGCATGGCGGTTTTGTATGACGTCAATGACTGGCTGCAAAGGGCCTATTAACGAAACTCTGTAAAGAGCAATAATTGCGTAAATCGTGAAACTTCGGTTGTAACGTTCGAACTTCTGGAACCTTTTAACGATTTTCACGCGTTTGACTTATTTTTCAATCAAGCCACAATTCAATGTACGTTTATTTGCCTACTATCTTCATTATTTATCCTATCTGTACAGTCTAACCCCGCCATACCTACACCCGCTTTATACGGCACCTCGTTATTACGGACAGTTTTCTTTGTCCCTGGGGAAAGCCCGGCCTTTAAATTTTCTCCTAATTCACCCGCTTAATACGGACACCAGTTAACAGATTCTCATAGAAAGTGAACCTCGCTAATGCGGGTACTTCATTTTCAACTGTGTGCTAAAATATACTTCAAACGAGTTATTTTATTAGGTAAAGTAAAAATTAGCGACTTCGAGTGTTTCTATGGGCCTAGTCCATTAATGACGACTTTGTGGAGGTCAGATATGTTTTGATTGACGACGAAGTCAATGTCCCCGCTGCGTTACTTTAATATTTAGTATTCTGTACAATAATAATTTTATCCTTTATTAAATAACATGACCCGCTTAATACGGACACTTTTGATAACCCCCTTAGTGTCCACATTAACGGGGCGGCTGCCTTTTCTTTTAAAGCTTGTGTTATTCACATTTAATTTATCTTTCCGTTTGGACAGTAGAAGCTTTTATTTAACTTTAAACACATGACGCCGCTTTTCATACCGTATACATATATGGCTTGGCGGCTTTTTCAAATTCCTCTGAGAATTTGCTTGGTACCCACGTCTCTATCACAAGGTAACTACACACAAACGACAGTGGGAGGCCTGTGGTGTTTCGCCTTCCCACGATGCCTCGCGCTTCTCTAGTCCACCCATTCACTCAACTTTTATTTAAATCGTTTCGCGCGACATCTGGTGGGACGTTGGACTGGTGAGTGCTCATGCTATTATGCTACAGTTCTATCCTTATCAAATATGTCTCGGACTGAGGGCTTAAGAGCAAGTTCCTTGGCCGTCTTTCCACAGCAGTCCTTGATGCCCCTATCAACGTTATGCACCCGCAACAGAATGTCCACACAGACTTCGTGACCAGCGGCTGAACTAAGATGAAGAGCTGGGAGACAAAAATTATGTCTCGGTCAGCAAAAAAGACTTGAATTGTTTTCCTGTGAAGTCTTAATCCAAATGGTAGGAACAGTCGAATATTATTTTACCTGTTCTCCCATTCTTGTCCTGTTTATTAATAGCAGCTCCTTTGTCCAGTAAATACCGGAGGGTTTGTGCATGGCCTTCCTGTTAGGAAAGTAAAAATAAGGTCTTCCTGTAGGTACTGTCATCACAAAAGAAATAAAAGAACCAAACAATAGAGTTTTCCTGGGGCCTTTATTTTTTGGTTGCATTGTTTCTTTTGTTGCATGTGAACTGTGACTCGGTGCCTAGAGAAAGAACCTAAACAAGTAAAATAGGGGTACACAATGCCATTGGACTCCAATTTAAATAGGTAGGGGCATGAACATTCGACATGAAATTTGAACTTAGTTATTATAATGAGACACTTGTGCTAAGTATTTGCCCAACCACAGAGACTGAACTCGTGATCTGCCATTCTGCAGATCAGCGCTCTAACATGTTCAGTAGCCTGTTCCAGGTGTTCAGCTATCAGAGCGCGGCATTCAGATGGTGGGGAATGAGTTTAAAAATCGTAAACCTGCAACAGTTTATGCTATGAGCGATTTTAAGCAGCATCAAACATGTACCTTAGCTGCCAGGTGTAAGGGAATCATCTGGGACTTCCCAGTACACACGTTTACATCCACACCATGGTATGTAATCAGGTATTCTACTGAGGAGATACAACCGGCTTGAGCTGCTAAGTGAATAGCTTGTCTGCCAAGCTGATCTGTTGCATTCACTGATGCCTGAAAATAAAAATAAATTAGCGAATGAACGAACAGATGAATAAATAAATAAAATTAATATATAAATAAACAGATACATAACAGCAACAAAAAATAGGATTTGACCCGTGTAAAACAATCCAGATTGCAGATGCAGAAATTTTTGTTTCCAGAATTCGGAATCCTGGACTTGGGAATTCAGAATTCAACTGACAAGGAATCCCGAATCCAGTATCTGGTAGGGGCGAAGCCAGCCTTTCGACTAGTTGTAGGCCTGGCTGACTTTCATTCAATATCCTGAAAATTGCATGCTTGATTAGTACGAACTGACCTTATCAACACTATGAGCTCTTAAGTATTTTAGCTCACCCCAACCATGCATAATTCATTACAAGTGGTAGAGTGATCAAACCAAAAATTTGTAAGCTTGGGTGTATAGATCTACAGGCTGGCTACGCCCCTGCCTGGAATCCCAACTACTAAAAAGTAATCCAACTCCAAGACTGTCTTGGATGACCTTTTGCGGGGTGATAAGGTAGGTGATGAAGAGTTCCAAGTAGAAGAGGGAATTCAGAATTCAGCCCAAGATATCAGGAATCCTGCTAACCGCTAGAATCCAGAATTTCAACTGACAAGGAATCTGGAATCCAGTACCTGAAATCCCAAATACACAGCAAGGACTCCAGTTTCAATACTGTCCTGGATGACCTTTCATAGGGTGATAAGATGATGAAGAGTTCTGAGTAGAAGAGAACCCTGGGAGCAAGGTTGATTCCCCATGTGAGAGATAAACTTATCAAGTGTGAAACTGTGATTTGCACTGAGTCCCAAGAGTGACCAACATCAATTTTCTCCTAACAAAATCAGTACATAATCAAGAGAAAAGGTTATGGGAATTGATAAAATGGTAACCAGAGGAGAAATGCTTTGATGTTTTATCAAATTTGCTCAATAATTTCTTCAAGGAAATGGATGGAGATCAATCTGGAGAATTTCAGTGGAGGATCCAGGGAAGCCCCCCCCCCTTATTTTTAGACCAAACTGAGGCCCAAAGGGAGAAAAAAAAATTCTGAGACCGCCCCCTCCCTTATCTCAGGGTCTGGATGACCACTGACCCCACCCCCTCCATTATCTGAAGGTCTGGATCTGCTATTGAATTTGTACGTGGATATGGGGACTTTCAAGGGTTTATGGCACCTGATCCTTGGAGACCCAGGGACAGTCAGTCGGGTTGGGAGAAAAGGCGCGACAAAAGTTTTCAAGTACCAAGTACCAAGTGCCAAGTAAAACTTGGGACTGGCTAGTTTTTTCACATGGGACTGGCTAGTTTGAATTGTACCCACTTAGAGAGAGTTAATGGTAGCACTAGCATATAATTCTTGAACATAAACCTGGACATTGATATAAAACAGAGAAATTGCCCATTAATTGATTTTAGCAGGATATCTATTTCATTTCAAAAGAAGTTTTATTACTAATCCACTGTATAGAATTGTCTACCTTATATGTCTTGATGAGAGTTTCTGCTATCTGTACATGACCTGCACGGAGCGCATCCATTAAGGGTGTGGAACCACAGCAGTCAGGTGAGTCTGTTGTAAAACCACATCTACACACAAGTGCACATAAAAGAAATACCAATTAGTTAGTCTTGTACCTTATACTGAACTTTAATGATGAAACAATTAACTTCTGGCCTCTTGAAAAACAAGTCTTCATGTTTTCCAGAAATTCATCTCACCAGATTACAAAAGACTCAAAGAAAACAAACTGTGTATCTCATCCCAATGGACCAATAAAAACAATAGTTACGTTCTTGGCAACTCGACTAGCTTTAGGGGTGAGAGTCGTTGGTCTCTGATGACATTACCGTAAATGTTCGAATTAGCTCCTGACCCTTGTTATCAAATAAAGTGATGACTGCTTGTTTTTGGGAGTTTGACAGTCCTCCATGATCATGTGCATGGTCAAAATAAGCTACTAACTAAAGTCAATTCTAAAATACTTTTACAAGTGGAACTACAGTTCTACCTTGAAAGCAAAAGATTAACAGCATCTGCTTTACCATGGAGAGCTGAAATTCAACATTTTATAGAATGGGTTAAAATACTGGAAAAATATTTCTACGGGATCTCTTGCTCGTCTAGATTATTCTAAGCCATGAGTTTATTATCATTATCATTACTATCATTATCATTGTCATTACTTTGGGGTTCAATTTTTCATGGGTTCTGCATTACCAAAGAAAATTTAACATTGTGGATAAAATTCAATCACTACATCCCCGATAAACAGCACATGATCAAATGAACACTGTCTAGTCTGTGCACAGAACCCCCCTCCCCTTAGAAGAAAAAATTGGAGAAGGGGCTGCTTCTCTGAATTTTTTTTCTTTGAGAGGAGGGGGAGGGGGCTCTGTACACAGGCTAACACTGTCAGGCGAGTATACCTCAAGGAAATTACCAGGTGCACTATAGTGATTAGACTTCAATAATCAATAGTGTCTCCGTCTGAACTATTGCAACAGTAAATAACACAGATGCCAGTAAGGAGAATTACTATTTTATATCAGTGCTTCAGACATTAACCACCTGCTGTATGAAGTGGTGTCCGTCCATTCTTGCTACAGCTATTCCATATGTCTGTGCAACTGTCAAGCAGATAATTCAAGATATTTGTTTGCCCCTCCCTTGCAGCTATATGAAAGCAGTTCCAGCCATCTTTGTTTGTAAGTCTCAGATTTGCACCATTCTGGACCAACACTCTGATGACATCAACATTGCTTTTTGCACAAGACAACATTAGTGGGGTCCTATACTGACAGATGAGTAAATGAAAATAAAGTAAAATGAAATGTAGAAAAATTAATTAATTCATGTATGTGCTACCACTTAAGGGAGTATTATTAGGAATGCAAACGCATTAAGCTCAAAATCTGGGTCCAAATACAAAGACTTCAGCCGCAAGAAAACTGAGCACAAAAATAACAGCCTACCTCTCTCTTTCCTTAGCTTTTCAATAGCTCAGGCCTCTCAACCCAGGCTAAGATAGGCAATGTCTGGCAACCATTCCATCTAATCCCCACACCCTCCTCCCACCCCCCATTGAAGGCAAAGGAAATCCTGGCAGGAGAGGAGAGGGGTCAGTGTTATTGGTAACTGATCTCTTAGAAACATCTACTTTTGTTCTGAGAGGGAGTGGGGGCTGAAACTGATAATAACAGTTCTATAACAATAGTGCAGTTATTGAACAATTAATGAATGAGACACAGTATCTTATGATGAATTATGGAGATCAAGGAGGGTGTTATTGGCCTCAACAGATAATATCCTCCGAGATCTCCATAATTCTTCATACGACAGGAAAGCCGCATTTAATAATTGTTTTATGATTCATTCAAAATAATTCCTAGTTTAAAAACATAGATGAAACATGCTTAACTCCATCAATGTTAAGTTCATCTTCGATAGTGCATGTTTAGGGTTGTTCAGTTCCGCAAAAAAAAAATCTCCAAATAGCAGATGTTGCCCTAAAATCGAGTTGTCTTCTTGCTGTTCTTGCCATGTTTTTAGCCATTAGTTCGCCTAGTTCTTACTCTTGAAATGAGTGAAATGTCCTCCATTTTTGTTTTCACAACCAAAACAACTCAACCTCGTCCCCAGGTCTTCTCGGTTAACGGTGCATTAACCTGCAAAGAAGCTGCACTTTTGACGTCATCGGTTGATTAATCGAAAAAAACTCTTCCAAATTTTGTCATCAGAAGCTGCTTATGGTGAATTATGCGTGTGCTTTTAGCCAATCAGAATCGGGGAAATATTTTGAATGAATAATACCGGTAATAGTAATTGTAGTGATCAATAGCATATGGCCCTGTACACGTCATTACCAGTCTGCTCTTTTCAAACAATCAACCTCCGCGTTATTAGAAATGAGAAGCTTGGTGCCTTCTAGGTGAGACCCAGCAGCTGCTTCATGCAAAGCTCTTTTCAAGTCTTTGTTGCGCTGCTCAATATCAACTCCACAAGAAATCAAGAACTTTAGCAGGTCAATGTGTCCATGGCGCGATGCCACGATGATTGGTGTGTCACCGGATTTCAAGTGAACGCAGTTCAATATTGCTTGACGATCTGTGCTAGATTCAACCATTCTCATAAACTCTTCGCGTCTGTTGTTCTGTACGAGGCGTAGAGGGGTAGGGTATTCGAGAAAATCCTTATAATTATTCCCGCTCGCAATTTCGTCTTCTTCTTCCGCCATTTTGGCTACCAAAGTGCCCTTCCGGGTGGATGTCTGTACGTAAATAATAATAAAAAAAACAAGAGGAAGAAAAAAAAGAAAAGAAAAGAAAAGAAAACGGTGTTCCTAGACTACAAAGTGGTTTACTCATTTAACAGTTAAACACGGTAATATGTCTAGTTCTCTTAAGAGTTTAAAAATATTGTTGTTCGATGACCTTCATTTCGAATGTTTCCTTCCTCCCACCCCTCCCCACTCGATTTAGAGCTTGCCGAGAAGTCTGGAACGAGCTCTTTTCATGGGACTGTCATGGCGGCCAACGGATGGTCTTTCCGTTAAATCTTCATGGCTCAAAATTTCTCTCCCCGAAAAAAGCGACGCAAGAGTATTTTACCTTCACATCAAAAAAATATTTCCCAGTTCTTTACTCCAAGGAGTGGCATCTCTAAAGAAGACGTGAATTTTGTTGTAAGGCCTGCAAAAGAACCCAAATTTGAACGGAATCCCTCTTCACGTAAAGGAACAGGGCCGAAAGAAAACCTGGGAACTGCTAGTTGCAGGGATCAAATTACGTTCCCTCTTGGAAATTCGGGATTTATCACAGCGGCAAGATTGTATGAGCAAGCAACTAAGTGCTGTTCAAGCGTCAAAAAGGAGCAGTTTTCGTCGTTTCATTCTAAGAGTTTGAATTCGCCAATTTCTTGGAACTCCACAACTTCTGAAACGTCTGCAGCTGAGAACAGCTACAGAGAGGATTTGGCGTTCTCTTCAGGCGAAAGAACAACGCCTGTTTATGGCACAACACGTGTTTCAATAATAGCAATGTCGTCTTCATCATGTGCGAGTTCGACGTCATCCACATCAGAGTCCTCAAGTAAGGTTACAGGAAAGGTCAGGCGAAATCGCGAACGAAAAACAACAAATGCAAAAAATCGAAAGGTCCAGAAACAGTGTACAATTCCAGTTATTTCACTAGACAGTGAGAATGGAGAGAATTCAAGTGATAGTGACTGTTCTATAGTAAGTGTTATTCGTAGGAAGAAAGCTGTTCAAAGTAAAGAAAGGAATTGTGAAGTAGAGGAAATTGCTTGCTATACTCGAAAGGCTGCAAATAGTCGAGGACCACTCAAACTGGAAAGCACCTCATGTAGTGATGTTTCACAAACATCCAGCTCTAGTGATTGGTCGAGTGCAAGAAGTAGTTCTTCATCTTCTTCACCTTCCTCATCATCAGTCTCAACCACATGTAAGAGTTCAGGACAAAACAAAAAGCAGTCTTCAGCAAGTTCCACAAAGTACGGTCTTGTTGGAGGAGACATCACTGAATCTGATGATGAATCCGAAGATTTCAACTATTTTGGGACTGAGTTTTCTCAATTGCCTGTTGAAATTATGGAGAATATCTTTTGCCAGTTGCCCATTGTTGATTTAATGCTGAACTGTGTCCTGGTCTGCCGACAGTGGAATAATGTTATATCAAGAGACTCGGTAATAGAAAGCTTACATACAGTTGTAAGCATTTATACACTAAGCAAAAGTTTTTCTGTAAACTGGTCTCACAATTATTTTATTCTTCCATAATGCCAGATAAGTTGCCTTTTTGTGCATCTTCCCCAAAATAGAGCAAAATTATGAAACTGTTGACAGGATTAATAAAAATTGCTTAGTGTCTTTATTGAAGGAAAATAATCCTTCATGAAATTAACACAAATTTCAAAAATTTGCATTAATTTAAGTCTTGTCAATTTTTGTAAACATTACAGAAAAGCTAGCTTTAACACAATTGAGTACTTGATAAAAACTATCTTAAAGTGAATTGTACTTGTGATAGAATGCTAGAACACTGGTAAATCTATCAGCTTGAATTTAGTTTATTGGGGCCTTCCTTAAGGGCCTGTTTACGTGGAGGTGGGGGACTCCAGGTAGGTGTGGTAACCCGCCTGTCCATCTCTCATTTTAATTTGATCACGTTTACATGATAGGTGCGGTGACGCACCACATGTTACCTCACCTATCTAGGGTCCCTCACCTCCATGTAAACATGCCCCAAGGATTGCTGCAGCTCTCCAAAGCCACTACTTTCAATGGACCCTTATAAGTCATGACTTTTTTGTTTTAGGGTAAGGTTCCATTGATTCATTCTCAACTTGGTTTGTTTGTTTAATGTTACATGTACGTTTTCTCAAGCCGTGGGGCTTTGTAAACAGCTGCGGCATCACCCTTTCAACATTTTCTCCCCTCCCCAACCCCCATTCCCCCATCCCTACCCGCCTTATCAGCTTCAAAACTGGTACTAGAAATCTTGTGATTGCCTTAATTAATAATATTAATAAAATTCATATGTATGTAATTACTGGAACTTCAGTGGTATTAGTAGGTCAGTCATCATTTAATCTTGTGGAATCCAGGAGATAAAAAGAACCCGGCTTGTATTCATAATATGCAGTCAGGCGATACTAACAAGAGGATTTTTCCTTATTTGTTTATTTATATATATACTTTTTCTCTTTCAGTTTATTCCTTGGAAGAAGAGGTACTTTCGGCTAAAGAGCAGGGATGTTCAAACAGAGGATGAGATGATTAAATTATTGGATCAGAGGGGCCTTTTAGAGTTGGATTCATTCCCTGTTAATCTTTCAAGGTATAGTAAACAAGGAATTTTCAAGATCAAATATTAAAAAAATATGCACTTTGCAAGGATGATCTCTACTATTTATGTAACAATGTAGAGTAACTGCACCTTTTCGGTTATGTCAGAATTTGGGTATAAACCATATCAGCAGTTGATATAATGTAAGTTAGGGCATGGTGGCTGAGCAGTTAACGCTTTTAATTTTGGCATTGTATTTATTGTTCATTGCCTTTTAAGTCTTGCCATCTTGTTTTCATATGTAAGAAACTTGGCTCTACTGTGCCTTTCTCCATCCAAGTGTATAGAATAAGAGTGACAGTGACAGGTTTTATGGGATTGATGGATTTATAGCTGTGATTTTATTTTTGCAATTTTAGCAGACACTCTGAATTATGTATTGGTTTCAAAATACTGCATGATAAAATAATTTCACATACCTTGTATAGCATAGCTTTGAGCTCCCTAGAATACAGATGTATCGGGCTGTGCTCTAGCAGAGCCTGGTGGCCCCTGGCACCCAACTTTTGCTCTCGGGCGACTAGAAAATCTCAGATTTTTCTTACAAATCATATGCTAGGCACCCTAGTTTTTACGGGTTCAGAACACTGGGCTCCCTTCAATTTTTGTTAGAGCACATGCTGCCTTGTGTATATAAACCAAAGACTAATACACTGTATATAGATTTAGCCAAGGCCAAAAGTGAAGCTCTCTTGGGATCTTTTAAGAAATGTCTTTCTGAAAAAATCATTAAAGTTTCGCCATTAGCAAGAAGCAAACTGAATTTCTCTTGAAAAATAATGGGCCTGAGTCTCTGGTCAATTTAAAATCAATAACTTGTCAGGGGATAACTTTTAAAAGCACGCGACCTCAATGAGTTGTGCACCTGAGCCCACAATACAGTCATGTGACAAAGTCAATGGATACCCTACATGAATGTCCAATATTGAGTTAAACACAGATTGAATACAGTGGTTTCATTTAGAGCCTGGCACCAGGCAAAATGACCAGCTGTGAACGTGACTTTGCCCTGCTGCTTAACATCGTAAAGGACTTTTATTAATACAGTAACAGTCATACCAAACAGTTTTAAGTTACAATCGTCCCCTTTAACACGTGGGTATGCATTTGTTATGTGTTAAAAACAAAAATTGCCCCATAATGTATTGTAAAAAGCACTGGGCTCCATAAAAAACCATCTGAAATGTCTAAACAGGAACCATTTGTGTGGTAGATATTGGTATCAAATCATGATGAAATTGTGTAGAAAAGTTATCTTTTTTTGGTAGTTGAAATACATTGTCTGCAGGTTCAAAATCTAGGAAAACACATCTCTACAAATATAGAATTTCAAAATTTTCCAGGGGAGCATGCCCCTGGCCCCCCTAGGGGGCAAGGCCCTCCGAGCCTTGCCAATTTCTTTGCCCCGGGTGTCAAACCCAAGTGCCCTCCTGTTCAAAATCTCAATGAAACCCCTGCTGTATATGCCTTGAACTCCAAGCTAGTAGGTTTGACATTTCAGATCTGCCAACATAAAGGGGTGGACATATGGACAGACAGACAGATGGATGGACAATTTTGTCATGTATTAGAATAGTATACATGTATTTAACCAAATTTTTTTACCCATGGTGCTCCACTATTAACCTCCCAGTAGTCAGTTGGCACCTACTGTATACAGCCCTACATTCATTGTACATGATTGTATGCCCCATCTTTTGTATTTCAGCTTCATGAAGGATTTTAAAAGGAAAGGACAGCCATCACTCTTAGACAATTTGAAAACACACAACAAGTTCCCACTGCTTGAAACATTCTTGGAAACAATTACAGACAAGTCAAACAAGGTGGGATGCTGTTTGTACATGTCTGTGCTTTCAGCTGTTTTAACTACTTTATTTTGCCTCCAAGCCTTAAACTTATCGATTTTGGTGGACTGACTGCCTTCAGTCCAGTTTGTTTCATTCACACTTCATAATTTTGGTTAATTTATGCAATTTTGATTATTGCATCGTACTCATATGGGTAATATAAACAAAGACAAAATTGAAAGAAAAAAGTTGATGTTTTTTTATCATTCTAAGGTCAGCTTTTGTTTTGCTAGCCTGATAAAACAGCTGATAATTCGCAATGCTACCAATGGTTTCCCTATGAAACAACGTCTGAGGAACGAATGAAGAAATTCAGATCTATACTTAATAATGAAATGTCACTACCCTGATCTAGTTAATGCTTCTGTTTGTTGAAAATTTGCTTCAATCAATTAGAAGCACTACCCAGACCACGATAGGCACACTTTATCAGCAGGGCTCAAATAAAGTCCCGTCCTGTCGTCCGGGACAAGTAGTTTTTTGCTTCAGGCAAGTTACTTTCCTGGCTGCAGTAGCTTGCCTGATGGGCAGGGGTGCAGATAACTTCACTTCTTCTAAGAGAGTGGAAAATATATAAAATAAAGATTAAAAGATGCAAAGGTTCCTTCATATCTGTTTTTCACCGCAAAAGACCTAGAAACTGCTTATGATGAAGATTTGTTTTGCTCCGACTAATACAGGAGTTGTTAGTTGGTTGGCAACTTTTTTTAAGTGCAGGGTTGCTACCAGTTTATCTTTGTCATTTAAATAAAATTTAAGAATTATTAAATGTAATATTATGAATAATTGATAATCTATATCAATGAAGGAATTGGGCAGGCGAGAAAATGACCTGGGCAAGTAAAACTGAAGACTTGCTTGCCTGAAGCCAGGCAAGCTAAAATTTCTACTTTTTTCGAGCCGCGTATGGAATTTCTGTGCTTCTCAGGCATCATTTCACAGGGAAACCATTGGTGGTATCATGAAATGCCTGCTGTTTTCTGAGACTCTTGCACTTTTTTTAACCAAAAAACAGTAATTTTTGTATTATTTTTTCCTTTAAAGAGTCCTAGTCCCTGGTCTGTTGTTGCTCTTTTGACGCTGGTTTGTCAGACAGTTTATGATGTTCAGGGAATCTTTAGATGCATGACAAACTCCACTTCCTGTCTCGTGCAGGACATTCTAGAGTGCTTTTACTGCTTGGCATCAGTATTTTATTACCTGGAATCACAGCACAGGATTGGAAGTGGGTAAGTAACTCTTCAACCCTTTACACCCCAAGAGTGACCAACATCAATTTTCTCCTAACGATATACAGACGTCATGAAGAGGAAAGGTTATGAGCATTCAATGATTATCAAAGGAAGATACACTGATCTTTTTTTTTTCAAATTTTCTCAACTAATCCTCAGGAAAATATATCGGGTTCAGGCAGTGTTCTCCTTACCAGGCAGTAACCAGTAAAATTTACTGCTTAAAGCAACACTTTGTACCGCCAGCAACTGCTTGACGTGTTACTATGTCTCATGGCCTCAAAATTCCTTTTTTATATTCACATAAGGTATTGACATGATTTTGTTATTTTTGTTTGTTTCTTTTTTCAAACAGGCTTCATTACAGAGTCTTCTATAGTCTCTATCTTTATGAGAATGCTTTTGAAGCCACTTGTGCGTCCATCAACTCTGTTTTTGATCAAAATTTTACTGGCCAGCAATCTATAATGAGATATAGGTATGCAAAGCTTTAATTATTGTCGTGAGCATGAGAAGAAGGTGGTTACTTGCAGGTGTAACTACAATCATGGACAAACCCACACTTGTAATCAGTAATACCCGGGTACTACAATAGATTGAAAAGACGCAGAAAAATACCCTCACCACAACACAAAAGCGAACCGACAATAGTTTCCACATGCCGTCACCAAGAAACACCCCCTTTTGTGATACAGTCAACTCCCTCTAAGAAGGACACCTTTGGGACCGGCAGTAAGTGTCCTTCTTAGAGAGATGTCCGTCTTATAGAGAGTCAAATAAAGGGAGTAAAGAAAGGCAGGGACCAACTCTAAGTGTCCATTTAGGGAGGTGTCCGTCTTATAGAGGTGTCCGTTAAGAGAGAGTCGACTGTACTTCTGGTTCACTACACTAACTTCAAAGAATAGTGAAAGAATGCTTACAGTGTATGGTGATTTGAACTTGAAGCAACTTAGCCTGCGTAGCAAGCGTTTCCAATCGAGTTATTGCGCGAAAGTTAGAGCGGAAGCAAAAAAAAGGTTGAGGGGAAGGGGAGAAGAGGTTCCTTCTTTCCCCTCCCCCTCCCCCATCATACATTTTTTTTGCTGTTGTTCCAGCTTTCTAGACGAACCTCGCGAGGAAACGCTTGCTACGCAGGCTAGAAGCAACTATTCCCCTCCCCATCTTCACCTCTCTTGAAACTTCGGCCAGTGGCAAATTTACAACTACACTTTTTGATGCTTCTAACATGTAGGTCTGGTACAGACAAGCTCCAGCTGACCCATGAACAAGTCCGTATTATCAAACATGATGTCAAGGATGGAGAGCTCATTAAGATTGTGGCTTTTGCAGGTATTGTTTTAAATAACTTATAAGGGATCCCAACAGTTTACAACATTTTAATGCTACATGTCGATACATTATGAGATTATGCTATTAGGTATAATAATATTGTAGCTAGTGGTGAACATTCTCGTGCTTTTGCATGTTATGCATCTGAACTATGACGTCTAGGATCAGTAAATGCGTGAATCTTACTTAAATGAGAACCCCTAAAGAATTTACTTTATTTGAGTGTCAATGTATTTAGCACGAAAGTACTAATTGGGGACACAATTTGTACGTCTCCTATTAGAGACTGGACCGCCATTTTACGTGGTTATCCGAGCCACGTGAAGGTCTACCCGTTTGCAGGGCTAAGGGAGTACCTTCATTTCTCAGTTATTTTAAGACCCTGAGTATTGGTCCGGCCCCGGGAATCGAACCCGCGACCTCTCACTCTGCAGTCAAGCGTCCTACCGACTGAGTTAATCCTGCCTCCCCAAGAGCAGCGTACAGACTGAGATAGTGTGTCGAAGGACGTAAAAAGCAGGACTTATACTGGGTCTTTAAGGGTAACCACGCACAGATTTTAGTTTTTTGTTATAGATATATATTCTAGTTTACTGTTGGAGGGTATATATGCTGCCAGAAATGTATGCTGACCAGGCTATTTGAACAACGAAATAAGCATCCCCTTGACTTCAAATAAGTGCCCCCTTCTTGACTCTAAAAAAATAAACAAGCGCCTTGGACGCTAACTGGAGCACTTACGGTATGTGCAGATAACTGCGTGTACATTCATCTGTAAGCTAATAAAAGAATATTTTTTTTTGGTTTTGCACTGTTCAGGAACTGGAAAGACAACAACGTTAGTGGAATACACAAAGATGAGGCCAATGGAGAAATTCTTAAACGTCGCTTACAACAAGTAATTAAACACTTCCCTACAGGTCCTTGGTATAGTAAACTAGTTCTAGCTTAGAATGAAGGTGATGTGAACTCCTTAAATGCAAATTTTTAAATGAAGATATGATCGCTGTGGTAATTGCAATTCAAGCAATTGCACATTAACCTGAAAACAGTTTGGGATGTACGTGTTTTACCAACCATGTTCAAACCTGTCTTGCAACATGTACAAATCAGGTTGATGCAAGTTCCGTGAATGCTGTCTTCTGATTGGGTAAAATTACGCGGGAGTCACGCCACACACGGGACAAGTTTGTCCGGTTAAACCCGTAACATGCACGGATTTTGTCGCAAAAAGTGGAACTACTCTCTACTGTCTGCAACAACGTTTCGCAATCTGCAACAACCTGATTTGTTGCAAGACAGGTTTGACTCGTGGATCGTAAAACGCGCGTCATCGCTGGTCAACTCAATTTGCAGCAATGTTGCAAAACAACTTCCACGTTTTTGTCTCCCGTTTTTCCGTACCTTTATTTTACGTTGGTACCTTGAAAAAAAGTCGAAACAAGACTACGTACAGAGTACATCCTTAGTTGATCTGCAGACTGGAATATGTGAGTCCAAAGTTTGTCCCATATGTGCACTCATACATCTTGTTCTCTACGTCCCTTGAAGGTCCATCCAGGAGCATGCGCTCAAGACTTTCCCCAGGAATGTTGAGTCTCGAACAATCCATTCTCTTGCCTTCCGGGGAGTTGGCTTTAGGTAAGTGCATTTTGTTTCTTTTAGATGCAGTGTGCTGGGAAGCAAACTGGATGAGTGTTACTCCATCACAGGGTTACCCATAGCAGTATGTTCCAGGTATTCGTTTGTACTCACGAGTTACATGTAAGACAATGGTGAGAAGACACAGGTTTTGTACAGAGTCTTGAAGTCTTGGAAAAGTCTTGACATTTGCCCAACAATTTTCCAGACCTGCAAAAAGTCTGGAAAATGGAGATAAAATCTGGAAAAATGCTTTTTTGAAAGCTACAGCAAGTGCTTTATAAGTGAAATTTTCGTCGTTTTGGTCAAATCTTATTCAATCTCGCCTGTACGTTTGCAGCGCATCATGAAATGAAAAGCTTTGTTCCTGCGGTTTTTTTTAAGGTCTTTATTGATCACCTGTTTGATAATCTTGAGTCTGGAAAAAGAAATCATTGTTTTGGAATAACAGTCTGGAAAAACTCTTGAATTATGAAACCAAAAAACTGTACGAACCTTGAAGACATCATGGCGGCAAGGGCTGAACCAGAACAATGGGGATCATTGTACGTTTTTGGGAAACTGCTCACCCACCCCTTCCATAGGCCAACATTTTGCCCGAAGTGAGAAGTGAGTGTTAAAGTTGGCTTAGGGGAGGGGTAGGTCGCGGCAGGGGTTGAACCAGAACCGTCCGTTGTTTAACAAAAAAAACGACAACTTCCCATGGTGTTTATTTATTAAACCGCGGGAGGACTATCCTGCGTGCAGACGATAACTAAACTCTGATTAGTACCGTCTGCGAAGCAGCGCAGAGATCCTTGTTCTGGACCCCCAACGGACTCAACGAATTACCGGAAGTGAGTTTCGAATTCCCCTTCAACCTGATTGGCGATCACGACAAACAAAACAAAGGCCTTTTTCAACTGGCCAATCGTGGCGCGTACTCAAATCTGGGTACACAGTTGGAAGTCCAGAACAAGGATTTCGGCGCTGTTTCGCAGACGGAGTTAACCAGAGTTTAATTTCGTCTGCGCGCAGGCTACGGGAGGACAAGCTCAGTCGGTAGAGCGCTTGACTGCAGAGCCGAGGTTGCGGGTTCGATCCCCAGGGCCAGACCAATGCACAAAACTGCAAAAGAATGAGGGTTTTGCCTTAGCCTGAGTATCAGGCGTTTCTTGGGAAAAGGGGAAAGATGGAAACGAAAAAGGGAGAGAGGTGAAGGAGAGAAACGCCTGACACAGATGCTTTTACTGGAGCCTTCCACACCCACGCAGCATGATTCGATACCATCCAATCAAAATCACTTCCGGTCATTGGGTTGTCAGCTTCACGTGTCAAAAGCTCGCCTAAAATAAATCCAATTTACGGTCTGGCCGAGCTCCGGTGCTTGTGTTGCTACGATTTCGCGTTTTTTCTGAAACCTCCAATGAGGAGTTTTCGAATACTTGTACTGTAAAACCTGCCATTTATGAGGAATTATAACATGTTTTGGGAATTGTGCTAGTGTAAGATCGCCGACGCTCTGTTTGTAAATAAACGTGTGCCCGGAAAATTGTAAATTGCTTTTGTTTACAGAGTTAAATCAGCCGCTTGTCTGGCAGCTAAAAAGCTGATGTTATCCCTCGTATTCTCGGGTGGTTGAAAGGAGCTGCAAGAATAAATAGGAAGGTGCGATGATGAAACACCTATGCCTAGAAATTATCAAGCAGCAGCAAATTCCACCACTTCACAGAGAGCTCGTGAAAGCTGTTACAAGTTCAAAAAGAAGTGAGAGCCTATAGCAAAAGTCAATCTCGTTGGCGAAATATGATGGCACCCGCTTGAGCTTAAGACATTTCAAAAGTGAGAAAATTTTGTAAGAGGAAGCGAACGAATTCCAATCACGTACGCTATCGTAACCGCAACAAGCAAAGTCAAGCTTTTTAAAAGCATTTGTGCTGTCGGCTATCTCAATACATGGCTACCTCGCTCTATTTTCATTTACAGTAACAATACCCTTTTAACGGCAGGATGTTGTAAATCTGAACTTAGATATCTGAAACACTGATATTGTCTTCTTTGTCCCGGTCTTGTGAAACCATATGAGGCTTTTCCACACTCCGAGTACATCTTTCCTTTAAACTACGAGGCCTTGAAAACACAATTCTTGCTCGGGTTTTATTTTTATTCCAGAAAAGAACTTGAGAGCGCCCTCTAGAGCCTTTTTGAATTCCTCTCTGCGTCTCTGTCTGTAAAAGTATCACATATCGGTAACATGAAATCAAAACGTGTATGAAAAATTTCAATGACCGCCTCCTTGCCGATCGCTCTTGCGGTCAGTGACGTCAGGGGGTATTGTGTGTTATCCAATCACTGCCACATCCAGATTCTGGATGTGTCACACGATTTGCTGAATGGTTTTGTGTCAGGCCTTCCTTTCTCTTCTCCCCCTCCCCCCTCCCCCATCTAAAATCTCCTCTCCCCTAGCCCCTTAGGAAGGCCTGATACTCAGGCTAGTTTTGCCTTTGCATTGCAAATGGAGATTATTATACATTTTGGGGAAACTGCCCACCTACCCCTCCTCTAAACTAACATTTTGCGCAAAGCGAGAAGTAAGTGTTAATGTCGGCTTCGGGGAGGGGTAGGTGGGCAGTTTCCCATGCCCTTGACTCGTGGTTCGATCGGTTCAGTAGTAATAGTACTTTCGTGTAAAATGCATGGACATTCAACTAAATAATATGCGGTTTCCATTTCATTTTATTATAATAATATAACTTTTTCATGGTCCATCATGAACACTTATAGACCACAGAAATGACGTCAAAATTTTCAAAAACTCAAGCGGAACCACGAGCCGCAGATTCTAAGGGTATAATCCATGGGAAATGTTTGTCTATTTATCTTTTACAATGGCATTGACTGTATTGATTGTATTTTTGCGTCCATTTCCAGTGACAGTTACGGGGGAGAGACACAAAAAAAATTGCTTCTTCATCACCTCTTTTTCTTGGTGTATATTCTTATAGACCATAGCCCTCGAACAATCAGCTTAGATTATTGTAAAAAAAAAAGACTCACGCATACCTCACTTCTGATATGATATTGTGATTCATCTACAGATACAAGCACAAACTATCTTATGGTCTTCGGATAAGCACCATCATGAACGCCCTTCCGCCTAAAAGCGGGTACCTTCACGCAAGACGAGTTGAGGATACCTTGAAGAACTTCATAGCCTCTGCCGACACTGCAGTGAAGTCTGCGCATGTCCCTCCAGTCAGCAGGGCCGTTCGTGACGTATCAGCTTCAGAAGGAAGTGAACTATTTGGGGACAATGGAGCAGATTTGACTTATCTAAACAGTGAAAAATATGTTCAGGTGTGTTTTATATTTCAAAATAGGCTGTGGTGTATGTGCAAAACGTTTAGAGTAAATATACAGATTAAGAGTCACGATTACTTCAAACGGCAAAGGTCAGACTCAAGCTGAGAATATCTCAGAATAGAAAATAAGCAGATAAAAACTGTCCAGAACAATTATTATGGATAAAACTAGCGTGAAACTACTTATTTTTTAGTAGAAGTAATGAACCATTAAGGGCTACAAAGATAGGACAGCCTTACTTAGGTCAGTATTAATAAATGATTATATTAAAGGGCCAGGTATCATACACCACACACAGCTACACAAACACACAAAAAAGAGGGAAAAAAAACTAGTAGAAAAAGAAAGACAGCATAAGAAAGCTAAGTATGCCAGTATTAAACAACGGAAAGCCAGAAAAAATATAGTGTTGATAAATCTGCAATTAATTTTTATGAATAGGAACTGACTTTAGCTTTTTCTTAAAACGTTGGTATTCGGTGGCCGAAAGAAAAACAGTCTCTTTTCCTACATCCCGCCGAATACCAGGGAAAAGAGGCCCGTACTTGCAGGGAAGAACGTAAATTACACACCTCCATAAACTGACTTTGGGATTAAAAGGTTTTATTACTTGTGTTGTCTTCGCAGAAAGTCGTATCGCACGCTGAAGGGCTCTGGGAGCGAATGAAAGACCGTGGAGACAAAGAATTTCCTATCACTCATGATGGTATGAAAGTTATACAGTTTATCATTTATTACTGAAGAATAAGTGGGGGAGTGGAGGTGGGGCTTAATAGAGAGGGGCTTATTAACTTTCTTTCCATGAAAAGGGTGGCTTGTTAGAGGGAGGGGGCTTATTTGAGAAGGGGGATTAAAAGAGGATTTACGGTATCGCATCATCATGTTTCTGCAGGCTACCTGAAGCTGTACCAACTCTCTCGACCACTTCTCAGTGGATTTGATTGTTTACTGATTGATGAGGCCCAGGACTGTACACCTGGTATGAATATAATACAATTTGTGAACAAATTTTAATAGAGAGCTTTAGATTCTAAGACGAGTACGACAACGATTGCGGGATTTTCTCAGTACTAAGCAGTGCTCGTGCGTAAACCAGCGTCATTTTGGCGGGAAAACGTGGTAGCCGTCGTCAAACTACTACGTGTTTTAGCGAGACTGTCGAAGTGGCGGAAACAAGTTATCAAATGTTAGAAGTTTTATCATTTGCGATCGAGAGAGGGTGTAACCTCCTTCACTAAAGGTAATAGTGCTAACTTTTCTAGTGAAAAATGGTAAAATGAAGCTTTCCGGGGAGTCTATATTTTGAGAATACGCGAAAAAACTTTAAGTCAAATCTCGTACTCATAGTCGTCTTCGTCCTTGAATCTAAAGGTCTCTAATAATTCCAGCCTACATGTTGTTAATGATTATTCTTTCCTTTTGTGTATAACTATTATCAATTTTTACATCGGCTGGCCTTGTGAGCTGGCAAGATGAGGCGCTTATTAGACACACCCTATTTCTTTGGCCAGACAGAGCGATTTTCGTTTGACTTTGAAAAATGGTTTCGGTAAGTATTCGTTATTTGTTTCGTCAGCCAATGGATGAGAAGATCAAAACATGGACTCTTCGTTTTCCCGCCAAAAAAACGACTTATATGGAGAAGGCATTGTTGGATTGGCCAATTGTGTTGTAGTGTGACGTCAAAGTGAAGTATCGATTGATTTCTAGAACGTTCTTCGGGCATGAAGTTTTTTCACCCGAGCGTTCGCTTAACCAACCAAAAGCCACGCGCGTTTGTATCTGTTCGATAAACAAATCAAATTGCTCTATTCCGTTCGTTTGTTGTTTCTGTTTTGTTCGCGCGTTTTCATTTTAAGGTCATACGAAAATCGCTCTAAGAGAACGTGAAATTATTGAACAACCCTGTTTCGTCAAGATGGCTGGATATGGCCCCTCTTTTCTTATTGTTTGTTTGTTTCGGTAGCTGCATGAAACCTTGTAGGTTTGTAATTTTTCGTCCTTCTTAACTTTTCTCGTTTTAATGGCTATTTTTTTTGTTCCTGCAGCGGCATCAGACATTCTACTCAGACAAAAATGTGCCAAGATTTTGGTTGGGGATCCGCACCAACAGATCTACGCTTTTCGTGGGGCAAGAAACGCTCTTCAGGAAGTTCCCAGCACTCATACCTTCTACCTCACTCAGGTTAGTGACTAACAAGTTAATTTAGAAAACTAGTTGTGACCTAAGGTAACATGGAGGTAAGGGAGTGCAGGCGAGTTTATATTTAACCCCTTAAACCCTAAGAGTGATCAGCATCAATTTTCTCCTTGCAATAACAATGCTTTCTAAATGAATAGGGGTGACAAATGAGAATTTTGATTTTGATCTTAAGGTTTAAAGGGTTAAGGCTTCTGATCGAAGGTGAAATAGCTTTTGCTCCAACGCTGGTGTTTTGCGTAAGTGTCACGTGATAGAAGTTCAAAATGCACGTGATCAGATTCCGTATGATAGAGGGTACAAACGTGATCAGATTGCGTTCTATGCATTCCATTCATTCTTAGTGGAAGTCTAAACGAAGCTGACTACATGCGTGTCAGACATGTGTAAGAGTAACCTGGAGTTTACGATTGCGAAAAATCCACGTTCACTTTTATAGTAGATCTCCACCTGAAAGCACGCGGTATAGGCTGAATTCAGTAAGGAAGTACGCACTTCAACATTACACGTTGTGAACACCACGTGGGAGCCTCGCAGTTGTAACGTGGCCTTAAAGAATTGGTTGGGAATACAGTGGAAGGAACCTATAGCCGTAAAACGAAAGAGTTGCGGCATGTACTGGGCTAATGAAATAAAAGGTTTGAAAAAGGTGCGAGGTGATTGGTAATCTCTTGACAAGCCATCGCGCGAGGCGATTCTCCTTCCATTTTTATTTTATACTGTCTCGGTTTTCGTGGTCGGGTTGCGTTTCGTTTGCGTAAGGCAGTGTTATTTTTCCGTTTTTTTCAGTAAATACACTTTCTATGGTCCCTAGCCTGAGAAAACAGCCGACATTTGGCGACGTTACCCCTGGCTTCCCCGTTAAATGACATCGGAGAAACGAGTGCAGAAATCCCGATGACATGTTGAACGTTTGGTTGAATCAAATTTCCCACGCGGTACGACCAATCAGAAGCACTGCCCAGATTTGGGTAGTGACGCGTTATCAGTATGGAATTTCTGCGCTCGTTTCTCAGACGTCATTTTCTGGGGAAACCTGTGGTAGCGTCGCCAAACGTTGGCTGTTTTCTCAGGCTATATGGCCTCTCAGTGTCCTTATTAAGCGGGTTGAATTTAGGGAAAATGTAATGGGTTTCTTTCCCCAGGGACAAAGAAAACTGTCCGCAACAATGAGGTGTCCGTAAAGCTTGGTTTGATCGTGTGGTTCAGTTTTTGTTTCATACAGAGTGGTAATAGAGATTCTTTATCTGCTTAAAGTCTTTTAGGTTTGGTCCTGAGATTGCGTACGTGGCGTCCTGTATGTTGGATGTGCTTAAGGGTGTCCGTAACAAGACTATTGTAGGAGGAGCTAAGAAAGGTAGGTGATGATAAGAGGCGGCGTGGCCGAGTGCCGTTTTAGGGCGCTGAATGTCAACTCAGATCCCGGCCAGGTCACTACCTGCAGTTCAATTTTTCGGTCGTGCTTGTAAAGAACCAATTGGTGGGAGGGAGGAAAACCACTCGCTTAACCCTCTAAGCCCTAATATCCACATACAAATTCTCCAAACTGATCTCTATACATTTCCTTTAAGAATTAGTTGAGAGAATTTGATAAAAGATCAAAGCATTTTCTCTTAGGTGATCATTTTATTAATTCTCATAACCTAATCTCTTGACAATGTATGGATATCGTTAGGAGAATATTGATGTTTGTCACTATTAGGACTTATAGGGTTAAAAAATGCCAGCGTGGGAGGCTAGTGTGCGGCTCCCAGTCAGATGGGATTCTTCTAATGTTTATGGAAATATTTGTTTCGGTCTTTTTTTGTGGGCCACAATGTAAGGTACTGGGTCGTCAGCAATTGTGTCACCGGTTTATAGATTAGTTTACGCTTAAACACAGGAGTGTTAGGTAAAAACCCACATTGATGCATTAATACATTGATTGATCTAGTGGATTTATCTGGTCCTGTTACGTATATTTTTTTACGGAAAGAAATGTACTGTTTTCGAGGTAGAAAGACGATGGCTTTCGTTTCAAGTTAGAAACGAGGAATTGTCAATTTCTATATTCTAATGCCTCAGTTACTTTGACCTTTTCAAGGGAATGATACAAAAACCAGAAACGGGAACTGGGGAATGAGCATAGGAAACAAGTAATTGAAAAATGGGAACAAAACCGAAATTAAACTCGTGCACTTTCATTAGCTTTATTACCCGTTCTCTGTTTTGGTTCTGTTTCGAATTTTTCATTTTCCCATTTTCGTTCCCCGCTCCTCTTCCTCGTTCCTTGTTCCTCTTTCCCCGTTTCTCATTCCCGTTCCCACATCCCCGGTCCACGTTTCTCTCTCTCGTTCTCCGTATTTTCCTTTCCAAGGTGTTTGCAATAATTTACTTTCCAATCCTTCTCTAGGATCTGTGCTAGGGGAGAGTTCTGGTCAAGTGTGTGTCATAACACGCTGTAACTACACTTTGTTTAACGAAGCAGTCAGTGTTTGCTGTGCGCAAAACAACACGAAAGTCGGTTTTGTTGGGGTAAGAAATAGCTTAAACCACCAGTCTCGTGGCTTTCTGTTTTTCCTGCTGTAAAATTGCGAAAAACTACAGAATCTATGTATTTACTGATGTTTTTTTTCTGTTTTAGGGCTTAAAGAGTCTCGCGTTGGATAGAATAGCAGATATTCACAAGCTGTTTGTTTCTGGAGCAAATAAACGTAAGCAATTGTAACATTTTGTCTATAATCACGGCATCAAAAATCCGTAATTTAAGTATGGATGGGCCTTATGTAAAGTAAAACTAAAAAAGAATACGTGAACTACAAGTTTACCTTTTCTGAAACCTTTTCTAGACTTTTTTTTTCTCTCACGCTCTGTAGCTCTCTCTTTTGACGTTTCCCTGTACTACTATTTTGAATAATTTATATTCTGCTTGCTTTGGGAACTGTGGGACCCACAATCTTGGACAAAAAGTGTTAAGAATTTTGCTCTTTCTTACACACAGGACACCCACCCTGCGTATTTGGCACCATGGTGATCCCTCCCCCCACCCCTCCCTGGTCAATGTTGTTTAGTAGGCTGCAAAAATATTCGGGCCACACTTCAACATTGTTTTTTTGGGGGGAGGGGGGAGTATCTTGAGTGAACCGGGCTTTAGAGGGAAGTATTCTAAAATTAAACATATAACGTGCATTTTTCTTAACATTTTTGTCCAAGATTGCAGTTATTTATTAATATTATCATTCGAAGGAAATTTTCCTTTCTTTCATTGGCCAAGAGTACACCACGTGACCTGCAAATAACTGCCTACAAATAACGGTCTGCTCATGCGCAATGCCGTCCAACTGTGTTTGGCCGCAAATGATATTCTGCTCATGCGTAAAGGAAACCGTGCTTTTCTCCTTCTTGCAATCCCTCTTGCGTGAAAATGGCAGATCGCTTCGCTTCCCAAGGATACTCGTTAAAAAAGTAAACTCGGTGATCCAATGATAAAACAATTATTGGACGAGGTTGAGCAAAATATCATGATTTGTCCGTGGCGAGCAGATCAATTATTTGCCGAAGCCTTCCGGCAGATAATTGAGCAACGACAACGGCGATGGCAACGAGAACGACAAAAACAAGACAATAGGTTTAGATTGGCGAAACAACATTTTTGCACTTTAAGTGGTGGGTCAGTCATTTTTGTGCCGAAGGGAGGGGGTGGGCCATGTGGTTTTTTTCAACCATATTTCCAAATGCCCCGGCCCCCCCCCCTATACTTTTTGACCAGTCCCTTACATCCCTTTTTTTGTACACACGTCGTCTTTGTTGCGTCCGCCTCCCCTACCCATCACACAAGAGGACTAAAATCATTGACGAGGATGTTGAGATAATTGATATTCTATAAAGATGCATACCGGTTAGTGTAAAGTGTACAATGTGACTACGGTACGCTTGCAAAGGAAGCTGTCCGTAGCCTTCTATAATGGAAGGAAGGTTAACCATCTCCTCTGTTTCAGTTATTTTAATGGTTATATTGAACTTTTAGGTGAGTTAGGCATCATCGACCCCCTAGTCAAGAAGTTTGGTTCGTTTAGGGAACTGAAGAAGTACGCAAAAGTGGCTCCTGATCCAGAACTTCTGGGAAAGATTAAGGTTTGTACTCCCAGGGTTGTCACTAAGATTTCAAGTTGTCAGGTAAATACAACAAGTAGGTGGGGAAAGAAACAGCTAGGGGTTTCTTTTGGTTCTATTTTTCTTCTATTTTCCTTTGAAAGTAGCCGGGGACCACGTTATAGTAGCCGGAGGAAATCCCCGGCCCCCGCCCCTTAATGACAGCCTTGTACTCCGATACTCGGTCGGACCTGCATGTGTGACCACCTCTCGTACGCGGTCACCTCTCAAACGAGACTAAGAGAATTTTCCCTGTAAAAGTTCTATTATGACCAATAACAGCGCGACTTAATTGACCAATCGGGTCAATAACCAGAGTTTAATACCATGAACTGACGTGATACAACTCACTTTGACTCTGAAGATGACTACCGCACAGGTTGTCGAAACGTCAGTCACTGTCAATAAAAATATATCCTATTCAGCACGAGGTTTACCCAGACGATCATACTCAACTTACTTATGAAATGACTCCTGGGTTCAAACCTTTCACAATAATTAGAACTGCTCGTAAACGACCACTTCTTCTAAGCGAACGCCACCACTTTTGGCCTGACGTTCTTGAACTTCTTGTAAGTGACCACGTGACGTGTGAGATGATCCCTTTGTTCGCTGCATGTGCTACGCTGCGCAGAGTTACGAAGAACTTTGCCTGACAACTTGATACCATACATGGCATAGCGTAGAAATTGCATGCAAAATATTCTCTAGTAGACATGTCAGGACCACGTTTCGGAAGAGATTCCCTTTGGGTCGATTGTCAAAAGTGACCACTAGATCTTCGTATTTTAGGTAGTCGCTTATGAGAGGTTCGGCTCTAGTTTGAATATTCGTCTTTTAGTGGTGAGGTTAAGCGTCAGTCTCCTGGACATACGCACCTGCGGAGTCTGTAGCGCGAGAAAAGTCAAGATTGGAAAATTGAAAGTGAAAATACTATGTGGAATATGGATCCATCCTAAACATCCCTTATATGAAAAGAAAAAAAACTTCAAAGCCATCGCTCCGAATTTCGACCCGATACAATCCATTTTCGAATGATCCCTCTTGACTTCTCGCGTCTGCACTAATGAACTAGCAAAAGTAATTAAATGCTGGTGTGGATTTCGTCTGTAGTGCGTACTTCTAATGTCTGTTTGCGTGAAGTGGTTATTTGAACGTAAATTCGTTACTTTAGAAACGAGAATGGAACTGGAGTCGAAATGTGTCCGGCAATTGTTCCTGGGATCGTTACTGGGGAGACGCTGATCAGCTATTGGCCAATTTTTCCCGTCTCTATAGTAACAGTCCCAGAAGTCCTTGCGAAAGTAAACTTGCCCCAGTCTCCTTCTCGTTTCTAAAGTGACGAAGAAATAACTAAAGCTGACTTTAATGGACTTCCGTCATTGTTTTGCAATTTCCACCGGTTACAATCTCATTTTTTTTCTCCAAACAGATTGTTGAAACTCATCATGTGATGTTGCCGCAACGGATCGAAAAGATAAAATCTAAGGCTGTTGGGAACTTACAGCAAGCCGGTATTGTATTTTATTTTTTATTGTTATTTATAATAAAGTTCAGATATAACGCACACTCTGATTGGCTGAAAAAGCTTGCTTCATTAGAGTATAAAACACCGGGTTACCGCTTTCATGCCATCTGCGAATAGTCCGTTTTGAAAATTAGAAAGTAATGGCTGGGGAATTTACCGGATTCTTTAGAATAAAACAAATAGAGAAGCCTTAAGTGGGCTCTGTTCTTTTCTAAAGCATATAGGAGGCGGAAAGAACACTCTAAAGCTAGGGAGAAACACTCGACTACGTCTCGCATTTCCCCGTACACTTCTTTCGCACTTTAGCGCTTCATAAGTGCCATACAACAGAGCAGAGAACAGTCAAGGCTTCTTTACTTTTTAAACGTAAAACGTATTAGACTTCTATATTTCCTCTTCCGTCTATCACTTTAAACTTTGCAACTTTGCTTTTATGTTTGCGTTAGTAAATAATACTGTATTACGCCTGTAATTTCTGGTAATTCCAAGCTTCATTTTGCTCTCAGATATCATCTTTTCCACGGCTCACAAAGCTAAAGGATTAGAATTCGATACTGTTCGCGTCACCGATGACTATCTTCCTGGCACAGACATTGGAATGTCAATACGTGAGTACATACTCTGAAGTAATATATCAAGCAATATCTGATTTGTTAAACAAGAGTAGGAGTGTTTCAAGTGATAACAAACACTGTGGCGTGGATTGATTTTCCATCACGAGAAACGGTGTTTAAACAGATTTACAAACACATTAAGGTATTATGGAAAACAAGAGAAGGGTTGATTCAAGTGATTTGCAAACACCGTCAAGAAATTTATCAAACGTGAGGAGTGCTTCATTGGATTACAAACTGACCGTGAAAAAGGGTTCAAAATAAGAGATGCAACCGCGTCTTAAACTGTCTTAAGTCACTTCTGCGTCACGCGTGGCGCGTCAAGTTTTGCGTGACCGTGACCGTCTTTGTATGTTTGTTTGATTGTCTTCCTAACGTCATGGACGGAAATAAACATTTGCAACTCTGGCTATCGAGTGGCGTTTATACCATATTTTAATTTTGCAGTTGTAAACACTTGTCAAAAATATGTGTTCCCTTTCGTGTAAGGTAGCTTAACCTGTCCATACATATTGTAATATTGAAAACTAGGCAAGAGAACCCCCTTTCAAACAATTTTTTCACTCGGTCGCGACTCTATTGAATGAGCCCGGCCAAGTGAATACCTAAGGAGATTGTCAACGGATTTCTTATTTATTTATTTATTTATTTATTTATTTATTTATTTATAACTTTTATGTTTGTTTATTCCTTCATTTATTTTTATGTTTTCTTTTACTCTCCAGATGACCATGAAGAGGACGAAAAAAACTTGGTATATGTTGCCGTTACTCGAGCGAAAAAATGCCTTCAGCTTAACAGCACAATTCTTGATATACTGGGATCAAGAAAGGTAAGCTTGTTCCTTTCCTATGCTTTTAAGTTAGTTTCTCCCTGGCACTTTAAACTCGCAAAAAATAAAACGTCACAGTTCCGGGGCTATGTTAATGATAATTGTAAAAGTGTGGTGCTCGTAAGGCTCGTTTAAAAGGCTTTCTGCTTGTCCCAGATCGGGTTGGAATTTGATTTGCTGGTTTTTGAGGCGAGCGTTACACCGGGTGTACCCGGAGAAAAAAAATCCTCAGAGCAAGGGAGAGAACCAACGACAAACGTAATCCACAAATGACGTTACTGCTTGCCTCAGGGATAGGACTCACTGAATTTATTTCGTTGGCAAAATGCTCAAGTTGGCTACTTTTGCGCGCTCTTCATTGAAACACGAATATTTTAACTTCACCTTATTACCTTTTATAGGAACACTTTACAAAAGCAGTGTCACCAAAGGATTTCTCCCAGGTATGAGACAACGTCCAGCACTATTTCTGTTGTGCAATGACATGGCCTAGTGGGTCTTCAAGACAGACAGCTGGGGTGAGACGAAAAGTGTCCCAACACTAGAGCACCTAAATCATTTTATTAATTGGATTTCATCCACGGACTCAACAGTTAGATAGTAGTAGCCTAGGGATATGTGTTTCACAGGGATATGTGTTTCCCATGTAGGGCAACACATTTCACTAGGGATATGGGTTTCACAGGCAGGGGAACACATATCACTAGGGACTAGGGAACACATATCACTAGGGATATGTGTTTCCCAGTTAGAGGAACACTAGTGATATGTGTTCCCCTACCTGGGAAACATATCCCAGGGAGGGGAACACATATCACTAGGGATACGTGTTCTCGGGTAGGGCAACACATATCACTAGGGATATGTGTTTCCCTGGTAGGAGAACACATATCACCAGGGATATGTGTTTCTCAGGTAGGGCAACACATTTCACTAGGCATATGTGTTTCCCAGGTAGGCGAACACATATCACCAGGGTTATGTGTTTCCCAGGTAGGGAAACACATTTCCCTAGGGATATGTGTTTCCCAGGTAGGGGAACACATAACACTAGGGATATGTGTTTCCCAGGTAGGGGAACACATATCACTAGGGATATGTGTTTCCCGTGTGGGGGAACACATATCACTAGGAATATGTGTTCCAAGGTAGGGGAACACATTTCACTAGGGATATGTGTTTACCAGGTAGGTAAGATGTTTTACAATAAAGAACATGCAGGGCATGATTAAAACAATTTCTTTTTCTTTTTCTATTTTACAATTTTCCTAATCGTCATTTTTTGTCGCTTTTTTCCAAACATTTACAGGCGGCAAAAACGTTAAAGTTGCCGGCGCATTTTGATAAACGTGCGGTAGTAGGTAGTATCGTCTGAAGGTACTGCGAAGAGGTTTCATTTGAGTGGCCACATTATAGGATTTTTTGGGCGGATAAAATCTGCATACAGTGAATGGTGGCAGCCTAGGATTTAATCCACACACTGCAAACGTAGAACTGCATTGAATTATTCATAATTTTTTTTTGTCACTTCATCTGTCATTTCAGCCGGCAGTTTGTGCTGCTTGTAAGGGAGAAGTACACTTTTCTCCGCCGCCGCACCTCGCCATCCTGAAGGAAACCATTATTTTGGTAAGTCTCTTCTGCAATATTCTGTTGTGTGATCGAAAATCGATGAATGTGACATGAAGAGCGTAGTGCTGTGATGCAGTGAAATTATTCATGTGTCTAGAAAACGACGTTTTAACGAAGTGCTAGCGGGTGCAGTGTTAGAAGTGACGATTATCTAGTTGTGCATAACAATTGCGGATGTCGCGTCAGGAATAAAGATGGGCCGTTAGATAGCCCATTCTGAGGCTTAGGAGCCCACTAGCTAGCTACGGTGAGCTGGTATCCGAGATGGGACATACCGAACAGATCGTGAAAGTACTGCTGATAATTTCTTATTGGAATGGTCACACTATTAAAAGGATTTCCTCTACCGACTCAAAAGTTTAAAAAAAGCTACAAAATAAATGGTACTATGTAAATGTACTGCTGAGGAGATTTCATTTGATTGGTCAGATTCCACCCATAGACTCAAAAGTAACAATTGCGTGCTAAATCAATAGCATCATGTGAAAATACTGCTGAAGAGGTTTCATTTGAATGGTAACATCATAGGGTTTCATCCACAGACTCAAAAGTTAGAACTACATACTAAATAAATAGTACCATGTGAAAGTACTGCTGAAGAGGTTTCATTTGAATGATCACATCGTAGGATTTCATTCACACTCAACTGTTGGAACTTCATTAACATGCCAAACACAATGATGTTTTAATGTTTTATTCTCTCTTTAGGGTGGAAACCTGAGTCTCACAGGAGGTATTCTATGTACAACATGTGCCATTAATAATGTTCCCCACCTGGGAAGCCTTGCTTGTGTAAACAGAGACAGTTATCCTACATCAACAGAATCAGATTCAGACTGAACAAGGCAATTGCGATACGGTCAATCAATCATTCGTTCGTCTAAGAGGAGGTATTTTGTGTTCAACATTTTCCGTTACTGATGTACTACATCTAGAAAGCCAGAGTGTGTTGAAAAGTCTCAGGACAATTCAAATGCAATGAAGTCAACCTTCTACGAACACTTGCCTTGGTAATTCTATTCTTGTTATTGTGGACTTTTTTTGTATATTCGCGTTCTGTTCTGTCTGCAGGATCTTTTATCTTTTAACTTTAAAGTTGTTTATTGGCAGCACACTGTCCTGCTAAATTCATTACAAACGATTTGCTCAGGTCTTCGAGGCTTTAGTCTTGTAGTGAGTGCTACTATTTTAGTGATAATTTTTAAATCAGCTAGAGTATGTGATTGTATGTGATATTTTTTACCAGAATAATGGATATATATTAACTGTATTTTATCGATTTAGAGAACAAGACTCCACAACCCTTCACGATAAATTGTAAATAGCATCTTGAGTTCTAGAATTGCATATTAAATAAAATACAAAAATGAATTATTTTTATCTGTGCAATCCAAGTCGTAGCTGCAGCAATATTTCAATAGCAGCATTACAGTCTGGGCGATTTAAAACGTCATAGCCTATCACAAGTTAGATCTAAAAATTCCAACAAAATGATTAGGGTGATAAGGCTTGCAAAAGCTCTGCATGCACCAAACGTGGAAGCGCCTATTGCTCTGTAGAGGATTATGAAAAGATATTTATTTGTAATAGAGTGTTAACGTGACTGCACGATATAGTTAATGCGTGTGTCAATTTGGCATAAGTGACTCCGCGATGCAGTAGTTATGTTACCCCACAATTGATCTGCTCGCCAAGAAGTTCTCCGAATCTCAGAACTCTTATAGTGAAGGTCGTGGTCGTGGTGTAACGAAGGTCGTTCATCTGAAACACAAATGGGAAGTCCGACATGTTCCCAATTTATTCTCTTTATTAAATTTGTGAGCATTTGGTAACATTCTTCGCCTTTACTTTCATTTCTTTGACATTTTCTTACCAAAATACGTTCTAATATGTTTTTAATTTCTGATACAAAATCCTGAAAAGTCGGGATCGACTTAGATTTTTCTCTGTCCCAAGACTGTGGAATAACAAAGATTCCTTCTCTGCAATGTCGCTCTCATTCTGATTATTACTTATGAAATATATAAAGAAAGGTTCCAAGCTATTTCAACTCTACTTCATTGAGGGAGCTGTTAATTTCAGGAAAGTAATTTAGCAGTTCATGGGGGTCATTTCGAAAATGACACCTGAGTTATTTTTATCATGTATGTCGTTTTCACTAATTATTTCAAGGCCGAAAAGATAGTTTATATAAGTTTAAATAACTTGAACTGTGTTGAAGTTTAAGGTGTAACATCCGGAGTTGCAATGGAAAGGTTCAGTTCACAGAGTTACTGTACATGTATAATCCGTCTAGTTAACAGGAGTTAAAGCTCCTAGCTATCGGATTTGAGCTAACATGACATCTTCTAAGGGTCATATACATAACAAGTTGGTCTTGTTTCCTAGCTACTTCTATTGCAAAACTGCATGTACAAATCAATTTGTAAAGAAAGCGTAGCTAACAACCTAATTCTCCCTTCACCAGCGGGTCCTTGTCATACTCCACGTTTCAGCTGGTAATCTGTTTTCTTGTTGACATACGATTTTCCGATGAAAAATCTGCAATGGACTGATTTCGTATTCCAGCGGAAATGGTACAATACATCCCCAACTTTTTCTTCATATTATTACACTTTCTTCTCCTGCTTTTCGTAAATTTTGAAACTGTCCTTGCAGGATCCCGTACATCTATTGTTTATTTTACCGCCTCGTACATCACATGCAGGGCACGAAGACACCACGTAAAGAACAAGCGCGATGTTAACCACATCACGTGCTTGGCATGTGTGCTTTCCAAAGCATCCCCTATACTCTTGAGTTGAGCTCCAACGTTAATAATTGTCACGGAAGATATCACATAACTTATGTTGTAGTTTAGAGTTGTGATAGACGCCAGTGATTGGGATGATAAGGACAGCACTAAGCTAGTACTTGTCATTGAGAGAAGGGGATGAATGTGTGCTTGACGCTTCATTAGGTCGTTCTGAAAGTAAACAAAGAAAAGTCTAGTGAAAACGAACACACACTAAACCCTTCACTGATAGAATTACACTAGTACAGTCAAACCCCGTTAATATGGACACTGAGGGGCCTAAGAAAGTGTTCGTATATAGTGAGTAGAATTAAATGAGGGCTTTCTTTCCCCAAGGACAAAGCGAACTGTCCGCAATGATGAGGTGTACATATTAAGGGGGTGACCCTAAAGCGTGGTTTGACTGTGGTCTGTATACATCAGATCTAACGTTTAAATATGGGATTTGTTCAATAGACCGTTCCTAACGACTGTAGCTGCCGAACCTACTTTTGTTGCTTTCCTTTAAGCACTCGCAAACATACGTTCGTGGCCTTCCCTCTCCATTCTGAAGAACAGTGCACTCAAAACCACCCACGATATCTTTCGGGAATGTCGCGTGCACTTCTTCTGACAACCTTTCTCGAAATAGCTGTACAAAGCTTGTTCACGCGAGCGTTATCGCGAGCAAAGGGGGGTTTTATTCCAAAATTATAAAGGCTGAATATCAAATTTCACCCGCTATTGCCCCTCCACCCACCCCTCTTTTTTTTCTCTGATGCCGTTTAGAAGGCTGGGTAACATCCTGTAGGTTATTATTTTTAAGAAGACGTTCACCTCAATTTCTACTTTCTATGAAAAAACCTGTGTGTTTTTCAATACATAGTAATTAAGTTTAAGCTGATTTGTTGTTGTTGCTTTTGCTTTTTTTCTTCTTTTTGGTTTCGTCTTGTTTGTTTGTTTTGTTGTGATTGTTGCGATTTTATTCTTGTCTGTTTGTTTGTTTTGATTCTTTTGTGTGGTAATTTCTTCTGTGTCTTGTTGTGTGCTATTTTTTTCATCCTCTCCTTAATTATTAACTAGGCAACTTGGCAATGAAAAGGCTGAGCGCCGTTCTCTGAAACGTATTGCATAACTGTTGAACAGCTGCAAGCACTTGAAAACTTTTATTTTTTAAAAATATTCAGCCATGAATGAGGTAACTAGGATTTAGTTTCACCTTTTCAATCATGTTCAAAATTTATAGTCAAATGTTATAGTTAAGGTGCAAGTTTAAATTCCTTTTCTTGTTGACAAAATTGAAAACAAACTGAAGGCTTAAACGAAAAAGAACCGCCAAGCCGAGGCATTGTCTACATTTAGTGTCAATGCACGTGATCACCGCCCAGAGTCGAAAGTCCAGACGCGAGACCGTTGCAGCGTCATGGTTATTAAATCCAAGTCACAGCATACTGATTATCATTCACCAGTATATGTAACAATGTTTCCTCAAAAACTTTCAATTTTTTGAAAACTCAAAGTTGTCACCTAAAGTGTCAACGGCTTGTGAAACTACGGAACAAGTTTTTGCTCTAAATCAACAAAACTGTGGCATTGACCTTGTCGACATTATTTTTAAAGGCTAGTCTCTTTTATAGTGCCCAAAAGTTCTTTAAAAAAAAACGAACCGTTTTTGGCATCTTTTCTGTAAAGTGTCGCTAAGGGAATAATTAACAGGACCTAAGTTTACGGTGCGTTAAACGATCATTAAATGGTAAAATATATATTCTGTTGCTGATAATTGTTTGCGGTCAAATTCAAACAAGCGTGTTTCGACTTTGTATTTACCTCAGTGTGCAGGGAAAGCGAAATGAGAACAAATGCATTGCCTTTTTTTCAGTTTCATGGCATGAAAGTAAAAATGTTACGTAATACCAGCGGAAAGGAGAGGAGGTGACTGACTTACTAATGAACGTGTTTTAGACTTAAAGAAGTTCAATGAACAACAATTTTTTTATCCGTCTGGGAGAAAATTTTGTTATCATGGTGCTATCGCGTCGGTGTATTGTTGTGGTGTTTATGAATTGAATATTTTCTTTGTGTTTCTCGCCTTAAATTGTTACCTTCAACTTGGTTGTAAACACTCCTGCCGGGGTTATTAAAAACTAGACGAAGGCGGCTTATAAATCTAAATCGCTTACGTAAGAAAAGTTTGCAGCACTTTTCAAAAGACTTTTCAAGCCGGCATTTAGTACATATGTACACGTTAAGATGTAATTTTACCTTGCAGGGGTGCCTCTTGCTCTCACTGGAATCGTATGAAAATTGCTTTTTGGCGTTAACCTCCAAATAATATCATTATCTTACGCTACGACTTTGTTCGCTTTGATATCACGTGGTAAACCTGTGACTCTAGAAAAAACATAATATTTGTTTTGACGCCTTCTGTAATTGTTCATAACGATATTTTGCGGTGTCAGTTTTAACTTTCTTTTTCTTCAATATTTCTGCCCCTTCTCGCATGTTGCTTTTCTGAGTGTTAAAATACAAAATTTTATGAATATGAAATTTAAAAAAAAATTTATAATACGGACTTTGCAAAAAAACAAGCTTTTTCCCAAGCTCGTTGAAATAAATGTGGTAATACATACACGTGCTTGCTTGCCACGTGGTTCACTGTCTAGTTGTTTACAACTTTTCCGCAATAAATTATTCATTTATCCTTTCGTTAATTATGCAAGTTGAGGCTACCGAAACACGTGACCGCTGGAGTGTCAACAACAACCTTGTAAAATTCATGAGCTTCCTTTCAGGCACAAATTTCGTGTCGATGGACTTCTTCTTGGAGCAAAAATATTGTGTCAAATGTAGAGTTTTATCGTGTTGAAGTCATTAACAATCAGTAATTAACTTACTTTTCTGTAACGATGAGGTTGTAATTGAAATGTCCTTTTTTTTCTATCTGGAGGCAAACTTTTTGGTTGAAGATACTTGTCGGACATGGCCGATGGTTTAAAACATTTACGCTATTGGAAGCAACTCATTTAGACTAACTATAAAAAAGTGCCAGCTAGATTATTAAAATATTAACCGGAATGACCAGGAGTATAATTCGATTGAAAAAAAGTAATTTCCCAAGTCTCTATATGCTGCTTTGGAGTGTTAATGAACCGAGGAAAAGTCAGCGTTCCTAAACAAATCCAGTTTACTGGAAAGACGAGTTCACACGAGTGAGTGACCAAACGTGGCACTATGCAGTACTTTCAAAGCACCGTCGTGTTTTTTCGAAAAGCGTTATAGGGTTTGGCTGTGTGGAGAAAATGAGCTTTGATCTTGCAGAAAAGGGGGTGGGAGCTTTATGTCGATTTATGAGAATTCCGAAAGCACGAGGTGATCAAGTTTCAATGCAATCATTTGGCACAGAACCATCTATAACAAGTATTTACAAATTATTTGTCGTTTGTGAGATTAAAGGCTGAACATTCAGGGGTTACTACTAGGTCGAAGAAGAGTCTGTAATCCTTAAATATGGTACACAAAACGATGTAAATACTTACTTTTGAGCAGGTGAATGCAATTATAATATGCTTCAAAAATATTTTATTTCTAAAACGCTGTGAAATGCAGAAATTAGTTACGAAATAATTTTGTTAGTTTTAACTTGAACACAACTCTCTTAGGTTAAACAAGGTTACAGATTTATTGATATTAGTTTCACCACCTTGCATCTACTTTGGGGAACGTTTTCCAGAAAATTCTAAATACGATTGTTGTATTGATGGTCAAAACACTTCAAAAAGAAAAAAAAAACACACAATTAATGTTTTGGTGTCGAGCGACTTAAATGGAAAGACGGTGTCCCTAAAATAGATGACATTGACCCAAATAATTTTCACCATCTCTTTCATTGAAAAAAAAAAGAAATATATATATATATAAAGGATAAAAATAAGATAAAGAACCTTCAAACTTTGTCAATAGGTCAATCGTTCACGGACAACTTTTTAACTGAAATTTTTAACTTTTATTTAGTAAATACATACTCTATTAAATTCTTATACCTTTTCATGTATTATATTTCCAAAGAAATCTGGATCTTGGAGCTTTTTGTATTTTAATTCTACCTTTAACTTTCCTAGAACTTACATGAGAATTACAAACATTATTTCTCGTTAAAAATATCGTTGTTGTTGATAGTGTAAGTTAATTTTTTTTTGGTAAGAAAAACATTACATAGCATTGCTCAGAAAATTTGCAAGTATTAAAAGTTTATCTTGTTTTTTTGAAGAAAGCCATGTCTTAGTAAACATAGTTGTGAGCTGAAGCAAAGACGTTTTTGAGCGACGTACGTCAATTGGAAGTGGTCTTTTTTTTCTTTTTTGGACGGTGGTTTTACCCAAATTTTTGGACAAATCGTCTCTTTAACAGTAAAGACATTTAGAAATACAAATTTGGTAGCATCAAGGTGCTTTAAAATGAGGAAGATCTCACTTCCGGTAGAGGCTGTTGTACTTAAATATCCAGAAACTAAATAAATACAGAATACGACCTATAAGTCTTAGGAAATGAAACGTTATTTGCGCATTATTTAACCAATTGTAGGGTTTTTTTTACCTTGTTTGTTTTTCTGTGCCAAATCTCTTTTGACAGAATTTAGATTATAGCATTATAAATAGCTCGTCTATGCGAATAAACATGCGACTTCTGGCTGGCCCTTATTCTGAAAAATTGGCAAAATAATAATTCAAAGTAAAAAACGATATTAATGTCGGTAGGATACATCTGTAACTTCAAGCAGGCAAATGCTTTACGATTGTTTTGACACGTGACAGGCCTAAGCTAATTTTTGGTAAATAGATGTTTAACGTTTCAAATTTATGTCCTCTTTTCGGAGCAAAAATGATAAAAGTCTTCTCGACAATGGCAAGCTCAGACGCACATTTCGAATCCTCGAAACGTCCGCGGCATTTTTCTGTTAGCTTAAAAACAATTAAAAGTTTGAAATTAATAGATGCTAAAAATTGCTCAAAGTTTCTTTTGAAATCGATGTGAAAATAGCTTGTAAAAATACAGCCGTGATTGGACGCAAATTAAACCCACGTTATGAGGTAGTTCTTAGCTAAACCTTTTTATTTTTTTTTATTTATTTACTATGCAGCCATTCGCATTTTATTTTTTTTTTGTTTATTTTTTTCCAAATGCAATTTAAAGTGTGAAAACATACTAAGCAAAATGTGCAATGAAACGAGATGTAAGGTATAAACATGAATAAGAAAGCTGAAGAAAAAATGAGGACGCATGTGATTTGATTATGTTCGAGACGTGTTTCGATCCTTTCTATTCTTAAAATGAAAGCCAATTATACAAGTATTCTCCAAGAGATTTGTTCACTGCAGTGTCTTCAAAAAATGTAGTTTTTATTGATAGATGTTTTCTTCGTAATTATTGACAAGTATAGTCGTTGTATGCTTTTCAATGAGCCTATGCAGTGTTTTGAATTAAAGCACATAAAAAACTCTCACCATCATTTGCATAAAATTGTCATATTTTACTTATCGCAAATTAGTTTCAATAAAAGTATAGTTTGTTGCGGTTTTACTCACAAAACCACCGCGTCTTCCAATTTAATGGCATCTACACGAAACAAAACAGTAGGCGTTGAAATATACGTGCATTTTGCATTTAAAAATTGTTTCTTTGAGCAGGAAATCTCTTGACAACAAGTGTAAACATTCGTCGCTTCTTCGTGTAGAGAAACCATCCAAAGCGACAGGTGCAATTTGCCACGGTGTTCGCAAGCTCTGGCGCAATAAACATCGCCTTCAATTTAAAGCGTTTACGAACTTTTTTCCTTTTTTAAACCTCACTTTCGGATCTTCGTAAGGATCTTACGTTTCCATTTGCCCTTAGACCGTTGAGTTTCGTTAGAGATTGGCTTGGAATCGCGCCATGTGAGTTTCGATTCTTCATCGGTGAGAGCGCGTTTTTAGATGACTCTGCAGAATTTTTATGATTGCTTACTGAAGATCGTTCTTCATGCTGACTAGGAAAAACCTCGTCTTCTATTGATTCATCAAATTCATGTGAATCACTCACGTAAGACCTCGGAAGTGTACTGTTATAAAATCTTCCATGATTTGGAATCGCGCCTTTTGAGTTTCGATTCCTCATGGGTGAGAGCGCGTTTTTAGATGACTCCCCCAGTCCAGAATTTACATGATTGCCTATTGAAGATCGTCCTTCGTCTTCTACAGTTGATTCATCAAATTTATGTGGATCCCTCACGTAAGACCTCGGAAGTGTACTGTTAAACCTTCCATGATTTGATACTGCAAGCCTAGATGACGATTCCATTGATTGCGAGGCATTATTAAGGTCTCGCATTGTGCTACGTCCAAACACATCTTCGGCAGATTCGTTAATCTTCTGTGGATTCCGTGCCTTATACTCCCTTAGCTCGCGTTTTAGCCTTTCAATGATTAAATCTTGACTGTCGGCGACACTAGCTCTTGACCTCGGTGTGTCCAAAGAAGCGGCAAGACTTGCGAAATTTTCTCTGCTTCTTCTCAAGTAAGTGCTATCTAACGCGCGGCGATCGTCGCTTTTGTGGCGCAGTCTTTGCGCGAAGCGTGTTCCCGACGCAGAACGCGCGTTTTCATTTAGCGAATCTCCATCCGATTTAGTTTTTTCAACGATCTGTTTCCATTGTGGCGGTAAACCAACAAATCCGCCTGAATTTTCATCCAGAGCCACATGAACACGATGTTGGAAGTTTTCAGGTTGAGAAACCTTTTGCTCCGCCGTCGAACTTGACTGATCGTTTCGCAATAAACCAAGCTCACGGGCAAGTCGTTTTAAAAACTTTCTAGGATCCATAATGAAACCTCTCTCTATAGCCGTATGATAACATCAATAATGGAGAAATTCGTTCCTATTTTGGTTCAATCAGCTTGAGATTAACAGACACCGTAACCGCGATACTGTTGAAGTCCAACTGCTTTCTTTAACTCTTTGTTTTTTTCTACATACGGTGACTGAATCGATTATTTCCCCTGACGCTCGCAAAATTAAAACTAATACAAAAGATGAATATTAGCTCGCTCTTAAAGTAAGCCGATATTGCCAAAATAAACTTGGTAATTTGAAAAAGAGACTTTCCCTGCCGACATTTGTTTGCATAATAAGTCCTACAAACATTATGCGCCATGAACTTCCTTATATGGAAAGAAGATGGCCAAGTCAATAAACAATGCTGTTTGAATATTCTTCACACAATCCATATGCCATTGCGCTCGTAGTTTCCAAAGTTTTGTCTCAAGGCGAGTGTTATCACTTGATTCATTCACTTTCAAATAAGGCAGCCGTTTACATGTATATCATCAACCCGGAAATATATATCAAAGTTTCTTTTAAAAAAATTGTGCTTGTTAACGTATTGAACATTTGCCTTTCCATTTTGCTTGTCCAACGTGACCCTGGTGGGTCTTAATTTTTAGGTGATTTCTTCTTAGAACAGCTGCATTTTTATGGAGGTTATATTTAACTGAACTTGACCACATTCTAGCAAGATTGTCTTGGAAGAAATTGTTCACATTCGTTCATTATGTTCGTATGTTTTGAAATAATTATACTAAAAGACGGAGAATGAAATCGCTCCTTTTTGTATGAAACTCCCGAAAAGACATATTATCTCATTAGTAGTAATAAACAAAATGTCGAAACCACGTAAGCACGTGATTGTTGCTCTGTTGTGTTTTTACCAGACATAACAAAAAGGTATTTGCGGCGTAAATGTGAGTTGTTTAAAACCACCATTGTCGTAAATTGAAACATGTTGATGAGAAATTAAACGGTTGGTTATTTTTTGATGAAAGCTTTATTTCTCTGATCACAAGCGACTGTACGTTGACGACAAAGTGAAATCGTGGGTTGTTACTGGCCACCCGCGAGATCGTCGTTGAGAAGGTGAATAGTTCTAAGATATGCTCGGTTTGGACAAAAAATTAGAAATTAGATCGTAAAGTTTTCTTTTTCTTTTTTTTTTTTTTTCTTCTTTCCATCGCGTTAATGAAAAACGAAAACTCGGAAGCTGTGCAGTCGCAGCGAGATCCTTATGAAAATGCAAACTTGAAAGATAATTCAAGGTCATGATAGATTGCTTTTCCACCTGTTTCCTCACTTAAAAATTCCCAGTAGATTTTCGAAATTGTTTGAAATGAAGGCTTCGAAATTGCCAACAATGTCAAAGTTTTCGCCCACTCTCTTTTCGGTGACGCGTTCAGGCAATCGCGTGACCTAAATGGCGCGTTTCACGTTGCTGAATTGTTGCAGTCTTTACAAGAGAATTTCTACAAGATCAGACGTACTTTAAAAGCTTAGAGAACGTTCAGTTACTAAACACCATTATCTTTCATGGCATGACCTTAGCCGGGCAGAGGAAGGGCAGACAAAAAAATCGTTGTCCGCGTAGAATGTTGTGTCAAAACTTCACTCTGTTACCAAGGTTACAAAGTTGCTGTTTTGGCGAATCCTTGTTGACACTTTTTGCCTCATTAGCATAGGCTTATCATTATCTGATGAAGCTAATAAAATGAAATTTCTGAATATTGATAAAGTATAACATTTTCAGTTATCTCTGGAAATTTGAGCCCGAAATACCAAATAGTTTCGGAGAAATTATCTTTGAAACATCCCAAAATTTACAATGAATGTATTGGCAGTTTTAAATTGCTGTTATTTTTTTTTTGTTACTTATTGCAAAGTGCTGAAACCTGCACAAACTGTATAAATTAACCAGCTCTTTTAATTTTTGAACCTAATTGATATAAACGGCTACATCCTCTATGCTAACGAGCAAAAATGTAAACAATGACGTCACGATGAATCCGCCTGTACATAATTTTATTTCCTCTGTCAGTTTTTATGACACAAACGTTAAATAACTTGAAATGCAGCACAAGTGCACCAACTTTTGATAAATTGTTCGTCGACGGCAGTGTACTCTTAATGTATACGTAACCTAAAATATTCTATATTCTTATCAGTATTTCCATTTATTTGCAATGATCCTGCAACCTCGCGAGAAAACGAACGAAGCTCTCGTTTTCGTCCTTACATTTTTTGGTGGATGAATTAAATCACAGTCTGATTTAGAGTTGCCTGCGCAAGGTCAAGATTATGTTTCTGATATTCATGATATTCATATCACTGACCCGGAACACGAAGTCTGAAAGTGATCTCCATTTGCTAACACCTCCATGTTCATTTGCCGTAAGTTATACGTTATTCATAGTTTTGTGGCCATAATTTCGCTTTGACATAAAAATAAGGCCCGCTACGTTAAACGAAAAGCACGCTATCAAAATAGACCGCCGATGGTACATGAACCTTAAAATTAAATTCAACTTTTTATTTTTTTGTTTCAAATTCCAAAGCTTCAAATTTTCACCTTTTGCCCAGGACAAACTTCAGGCACGAAATTTGAAACAACTTGGGCAAAAAATTCGCGTGTTAAATTTGGATCCAATTAGTTTGAATAAATATCTGCCTTCTTTTTTCTTTTCTTTCTTTCTTTTCTTTTTTGTTTATTTATTTGCTTTTCAGTGAAACCTCGAACCCAAAACGTCCAACAATCGTACAATGCGCTTTTTATCAGGATAATGTGGATTGTGTGCGCTGTGTGCAAAAACGAGCCATGGCCAAAGCTCGTCCTGCATTTTTTCCTTGTTATCGCTCTAATTTGATTGAAAGGTTATTTAGACTGAAGCATTTTTGAAACTATTTGTAGTGCTTTCACTCTGTCGATAAGTCAGCGTTTTAATCTATTTACCGTAGCTCATTTAGTCCAAAAGGTTTTAAAACTTTTCATCATTTCCCACCGAAGAACACTAAAAGCGCAGGTCTCAAATCAGTTCTGCCCGCCTAATGACCTGTTCAGTTACCAACTTAAATATACAATCAAAACTGGCGCGAACTGGTTGATACGAACCGAATTATGTTCTTTATCGATTCTGCCCGCTTTCTTTCGTTGAAATTTCAAATTCCCAAATCAGTTCTACCCGCTTTCTGTCCCCTTCAATCAAAGTCAGAGATGAACACATTTAAGGCATGCAACCAAAAATTGCGCCAAATTGTGATGAAGCGGGCACTTTTCGTTATCGATTCGGCCCGCGCCCTTTCTTTTGTTGAAAGTGAATTAGCAAGCCCCCACAGAACACGGTTCGTAATGCTTTTAGCAGATTCCTCTAAAATACGAACGTTTGATACTTACATTAAGACACATTTTCGAGTGGGCTTTCATTCTTGCTTGAACGTTCTGTAAATGTTTTACTTGTTTCAATTGACCCATACAATATTCAAGGCTGACGTACGGGAACAGATGCACGTACATCGCCAGTCATTATCTCATTTTTATCTGCTGAGTCACTTGTCATGTCAACCTTGATCTCACGTGCGGTAACGAAACATAAAATGCAAGGTAGAGGGACATTATAGGTCAAAAGACCATGCACGGAAATTTATCCTTTTGTCGTTCAATGCTGTAAAGCTATTTTTTCGAACCAAAAGTCGTTAGCCTTTGAAGACCTTATCGAACCCATTTTTGGTCACCCAAAACAGGTTGGTAAGATGGGGATAAGCGCCCATTCTCACTTTGGTTACATTTTAAGGGCACTAATTATTTTAACCTCAATTCACTCCTTTGTCTGTAAATTCCGAATACGAAAACTACATCAACGAGCATGAACAAGTATTTTTCAACACAAGAAAACGGTCTGAAAGTGCATGTGCAGTAAACAGGGACAACTAAAAGCACTGAACCTTGCACCTACTTGGCAAAACGTGCCGAACCGGCGCCGGAAAAACCAGTTAAACTTCACAATCTTTAAAAAGAGTCGCGTGACCGCTTATTAAATACCCTTATGACGATCGCAAAATTAAATATTTATCTTGGGTTTTTTTCTTCCTGTCTTTCTGTGGTGGAATAAAAATAACTTAAACCTTAGCATAATACCCTCAGTAATTAGTTTTTGGCTAGTCACGTCTCCCCAGCGTGCCTTAAACGGGGATAGGTTTGGATTTAAACAGTTTTCTATTATATCTACCGTGAATATTCTCGAATTTTTAATAGTTATCATTCTTAATATTGGCCTTAAAAACCGAAAGTTGCCGCGCTTAATGAAAATGCATCGTGCACAGTAAACAGTGCGAATTGACCTTGGCTTAGCCGTGAGATACGTGTCTTAGCAGCTTGAGAGCGCTTACTCTATAGGTGACTGGGCCAATCAAATTTGTTAAATCTCTGAAACGGTCTTCATGAAAAAAGAAAACCAAACAGCTAATAAAAAGAAATATTCTGAGGCTTTGTGGGACGCGAGTGTGCGTCTTAGGAAGTTACATAAAAGGACACCTTTTCTTTAGTATTTACTTTTAAAAGTAAATAAACATCCACTACCGCTTTGACTGCCAATGTCACGGGGAGCGAGAACACACTTACCGCGTTGTTTACCCGCAGGCGGCTTGCGCGCGCGATAAATCGCGGGAAAACGAACTTTTAGGTGGACTAACGGAACTGGCGATCACGAAAATTAACGATAGCGTTTTCAAGCTAGTCTTATCTTTAACAGCGCTGGGAGCGTTTCAGGTTTATCTTGTCGAAAGATTTTAAGCACACAATGGAAATGAAACTGTAATGGTCAATGTATATTACTCCGTTCTTCGTTTTGCTCCTGAAAAATTCTTTATACCCCCAACTGCGTGGACACAATCATACCCCGAAGGTTTAACAGTGCGGGAGGTATTTGATATTTATTTGTGGCAATAACTATTTTTGCATTTTCGTCTTTGAAAACATTTATTCTTGCTAAATACGGGCCTCACGTTCAATTACTCTTGCCATGCAATAGTGGACGAAGTTTAAGTTGATTTTTGGACTTTGAAAAATGTTTGAAAGAATTGCGTGTTCGATGTTCCACCGCCCATTGCAAGCTTCCCGCAGGCAACCCAAGGCCTTTTAACACAATAAAGTAAAAGGAAAAATTAAGCTTTGCTCTGATTACCTTGTGTGGTCATAAAACCATTTAGAGAATACTCGTCGCTCTAAAAACAAAAAAACACGCAAGGCAGGCCAGGTGCTTTTGACAGGAATACGGTACGGCCGACAACCCCCCCCCCCTAACCTCCTCCCCTCCCCCCGGCCCTCCAGGAGGAAATTTTAGAAGGAGGTGAACCTGGTATAAGCGGATGGGTGCG